CTGAGGGCATGGGGTTGACGGGCAACCTCAAGCACATGGAGCAACGATAGGCCTGGCTGCGGCGCATGGTGAAGCGCGGGAAGTTTTTCGCTGAAGTACATCCCGACGGCTGAGCAGCCGGCCGACTTCCTCACGAAGGCGCTGCACTACGCGGCCTTCAACCGGTGCTCCGTCGTGATCGGCCAGGTGCGCTTGGCCGAAGTCGGCGACGGCGACAACGACGTGCAGCAGTAGGTGCCATGCCCTTTTGCATGGCTGGTGCGGTGACGGCATGTTGTGTGATGTGTGCACGCCGACGAGTTAGTCTCCGAGAAGTGCTACCGTGTGGGGTAGGGGCCCAAGCGTGAACGAGGTAGGGGAGTGTCAACGGGAGTTGTGTTAGGCGCCGTCCTCGCTTGGGCGGAGCCGACTTCGTGGTCGGGTGTGAGGGGAGCAGCCGACCTGCAGCAGTGGGAGACTGAGCTGGGCGACAAGGGTGGTCGACCTGCACGGGCGTCACTGCAAAGGGCACCGACTTTGGGAGGGCGCCAACTTCGGGTGGTCGACTTGGGAAGTCGACCTGCAGAGGGCGTCGACTTGGTGACGCCGACTTGGGGCAATCGACTTGGATGGTCGGCTGACAGGTGTGCCGGTTGACCTGGAGTTGGTCATCCAGAAGTGTCGACGACCTGGAGCTGGTCTACCAAGAGTGTGGTCGACCCGATAAGGTCGACTAGAAGTAGCCGTCGACTTGGGAGGTCGACGGGCATAGGAAGGCGCAGGTCGACGAGGTGGTTGCCCGGTCTACCACGTTACCTGGGTGACGAGGTTCTGCGGAGGTATGCAAAGGTCGCCCAGGTGGTTGTGGCGAGGCCGACCTCGGAGGTGGCATCCCGAGGTCGACGTGGCCGATCAGAGGCAGCTGTTAGCACGTGGAAGATTTGGTCTCTACGCTGTGCAGGTGACGAGGCACAGCACGCCAATCATCTGCGAGCACCTGCGAAGCGGGTGCGCTACTGTGCTGCCGGAGCAACGCTGGCACGCCGTCGACTTGCACTGTTGTCACGCCGTCGACCTGCAGCGTTGGCGGGCCGCGACCCTGCACTGCTGGAGCGCGGTCGACCGTGCTGCGCTGGCAGTCGATTAGCTTGCATCCTAGCTTTGATGTAGTCTTGCATACCCAACTTTATTATACCATTCTGTTGTGAACTTTTGTTAGTGAAACTCTTACCAGTTTTCCCCGTGAATACGCAAGTAGTAAGAGCACAAGCAAACGACAAAGGGAACGAACGCAAAGATCAACCTCCTACCCCATGCCTAGCCCGTGGACCAGCTTCCATTGTAGTAGTTATCTCCGCAGCGCTCAGCAACCCCATTCTGCTGCGGAGAGGCCGGAAGCGTGAACGACTGGAGGATGCCCTCCTCACGACAAAAATGCCGCAAGAGGTCGGAGGAAAATTTACCACCTCTTTCAGAGTGCAGACGCAGGACAGGAAGATCCATGTAGAACCGCTCGCAGAGCTGGAGACAGACAGCGCGGATCCAAGGGATCAAGACATCAGGAACCTCCCACTTGCTGCGCAAGGGGAAGACAGTGGTGTAACGCGTGTAGTCGTCAACAACCAGCAGAAAATACTGCTCGCGGTCCAATCCACGAACGCAGGCTGGGCCCCACACGTCCATGTGGAGAGTCTGCAAGGGAGCCTCTGTCAGGAGAAACTAGGAGGAGTGAGGAGCGGCGCGCTGCCGCCCCTCGACGCAAGAAAGGCAGGGTGGGGCAGGCGAGCGCGGGAGGGGGGGCAGAGACCTGGGAAGACCAGAGACAAGGAGGCGGGAGTGCATGCTACGGAGGCGTGGCAAGGAGGGGTGACCAAGACGGTGATGCAAGAGGAGAGTCTGGTGCGAGAGGTGGCGACACGAGCAGGGGGCTGCTACCTGATCTGAAGCGGACACCTGACCAGACGCAGCTACCTGGGGAGGCTCAGTAGTCAGTGTTTAAAGGCTCGACCCAGGCCGACGGGTGAACGTGGCCAGGTGGCGGCCCGTCCGTGTATACGTGCAGATCGCCACACGCTGACCCCCAGTAGTGGTGGTAGTGACCATCGCATCCTGGAGGGCAGCGGTACTCACCAAGTTCGTAGAGAACGAGGGGAGGTGAAGACCTGACAGTGAGCCAGACGGAACCGCTGGACACGGGAGAACAGTGGAGGAACGTGCAAGAACTGGACCCCTTGAGGGGTCAGCCAGTGTGACTGCAACCGGTGCAGGGAGTGGTGTGAGTGTGGTACTGTCGTGAAAGAAACAGCGGGAAGCACCTGAGTCAAGCGTGAAGGTGTGCAAAGCCTCAGCAGGCGCAGTACCAGAGAGAGCAGGCCCACTAGCACCAAGAGCAGCAGCCTCAGCTATATCCGGGTCGGGCGGCCCACACAGGTAACAGTCACACTCAGCACTAACAGTCATAGCATACATGGCAGCAAGGATAGCATCATAGTCAAGAGCAAAGATATCAACACCAGCCCTAAGCAGGTCTGCCCAGCGGGGGAGCTCAACTGCGTCAGGAAACTTTGTGCGCCAGGCGTCGTCAAGACCGGAGAAGCAGCGGTGCTGGGTGTGAAACTTCCCGCATGTCTGACCAGCGCGGTCACCTGTGCGAATGACATATGGGCAGTGAACACTACCTCCAGACGCCCCACGCTGAGCAAACCACTCACGAAGCTGCTGGGGCGTAAGGGTCTCGCGCGGACGCCGCTGCGGCTGCATCTGGCCACCGCCAGAACCTCCCCTCTGAACAGCTCCACCGCGACCGCCACCACTGCCGCCGCCACCACTATCACTGCCGCCACCACTGCTGCCACCACTCCCACTGCCGCCACTACCGTTGCCACCACTCCCACCGCTGCCACCGCCGACGCCCCCACTCCCGCCACCACTCCCACCGCCACCACCGCCACCTCCACCTCTGCCACCACCCCCACCACCGCCTCCACCGCTACCACCTCCACCACCCTTGCCTCCCTTGCCCTTGCCGCTGCGGCGCCTCCCACTAGGAGCAGACGCAACTCCGACCTCCTCAGCACCAAGGAAGTCAACAGCAGTAGCAGAAGCATGGGAGGGGGCAAGGGGGGAAGGGGAACACCCCTCAAAGAAGGGAGTGCGAGGAGTGCCACGAGCAGCACCTACAGCGACTATGCTAGTCTCAGCTGCAAGGAGGTGCTTCTCGAGCTCGCCGACAGTGAGATCAGTGGGGTCAAGGGCGAGAAAGTGGTCCCTGACTGCGCGAAGAGAGTCAGGGAGGCGGGTGACGATGAAGTAGAGAGTGATGTACATCGGGGGCGGGTTCTTGTCTAGGAACTCGGCTTTAAGCGCGGCGCGGTAGCGAGTGTCGCTGATGCGAAGGTGGGTGATAAGGTCATTGACTGTGGCAAAGGCGGACAACTCGGGAAACAGGTAGGGCAGTATAAGGCGGCCGAGAGGGGAGGAGTAACGAGCGACTACAGCGTCGTACAGTGCTTTAGCTGTCTTGTGCTGGCTAAAGTGAGCGCGTTCAGTTAACGGCAGGTGGTTGCGAACGGCTAGGCGAGCAGCAGCGTCACGGGTAAGCCACTGTGAGCGAGTCGCACTGTCAGCTGTGTCGGGAGGGGCGAGAGAGGCTCCAGACGTGTGGTCAAACAACGAAACGCTGTCTCTACAATTGCTCAGTAGGTACAATTGTAAGTCATCGAGCCATGTATCGAACTGGATCGGACAGCCCTCTGCATCGAATGTGAGAACGTTGACAGTAGCCATAACGGGCAGAGTAAGGTGGCGCGTGACGAGCAGGGCAACAGCGCGAGGCAGGGCAGGGCAGCCGCGCGTGCAAGGCAACTGCGCAGAGCAGGGCAAGGCAGCCGCGCGTGCAGGGCAACAGCGCGGAGTAGGGCAGTAGAAGCAGTGCAGCAGCAGCAGCAGCGTAGGCGGCAGCAGCAGCTGAACAGCAGCAGCAGTTTAGCAGTAACAATAGTGCAGCAACAGCAGCACAGGTGGCAGCAGGGCAGCAGGGACAGTGCGCCGGCGAAGCGCAGGGGCAATGCAGGTGCGCGCGCGGCAGGGCAGGTGCGCGCGGGCCTGGCGCGGACTGTAAGGGCTGCGTGCGGGCCTGGCGCGGGCTGTACGAGCTGCGCGCGGACCTGGCGCGGGCTGTACGGGCTGCGCACGGGCCTGGCGCGGGCTGTACGGGCTGCGCGCGGGCCTTGCGCGGGCTGTACGGGCTGCGCGCGGGCGACGCGCGGGCTGTATTGGGCAGCGGGTCGCGCGCAGGTAAGGGGAAACAGCGGGATGCGTGGGGCGCGCGTGGCTAGGCAGGAAAAATCGACTCGCCTAGGGCGCGTTTTGGGCAGGATAAAAAAACCGGGACGCGCCTCGGGGCGCGATTCGGACAGGAGATCAATAACTTTACGGTGGGCCCTTTTAGAAATCCGGTCTAAGGACCTAATGGCTAAGAGAGCTAAGTGGAGAGGAATCGGTCAATTAGGTCAAGGGAGGGGGTACAAGAGACGGTCGAGGTGAATTGAGTATCCCCTAAGGTTAGCCCCTATATAGCCTAGAACATTAAACTTATGAGTTTTGACAGAATATACGGTAAGGTACCAGGATTACAAAAAGAACAGTTGTACCGGTAGGTACTGCAGGTTTTATAAAGAGAAACCAGAGACTAGCACCTTACACCTTTCACTCATGGCACACACTATGCCGTGTAGACTAGTACCCACGACACCACACCACAGAGCTGACCCGAATCCACAAAGCTGGATGGTCCGAAGCGCTGCTCCTTGAAGGGTTCAAATCAGACCGCCCGCGTACCATACAGTCTCCTCCCATAATGCCGGCCATAAATATAAGGTACGGTATCCCACTCTCAGGCGCATGGCACCGCACTACTTTCTCCCAGGTGATGACTCTGTACCCACACCCTCCCCCATTACCCCACCTTTCCCCCATTACTTCACCCATTACCCCACCTTTCCCCTCCCCCCAACCCCCCCTCACACGTCCAGTGCCTGAGCCACCTTGACAGCCTGTCTGAACCGTCCATCCACCACGGCCAGAACCCTCTCGTCCACGCGGCTGTGCCGCTCCATCTCCTCCTTTGCCTCCCCATGCACCTGTGCCCTAGCCCCCACCGATTTCAACCCATTCTACTATAGCGACTCTCCTCTACCCAAGCGACCCAGACTCCCATTGCTGTCTTTGCAACCCCCTCTCCTCCTCCCTCCCCTCTTCCCCCTCTTCCTCCCCACCCCCACTCCCCCCTTCCCCCAACCCCCCTCACACGTCCAGTGCTTGAGCCACCTTGACAGCCTGTCTGAACCGTCCATCCACCACGGCCAGAACCCTCTCGTCCACGCGGCTGTGCCGCTCCATCTCCTCCTTCGCCTCCCCGTGCACCGCCCCCACAAAGTGCCCCACGCTCTCCCACACGCGCCCTATCGCCTCCTCCAGCTCTTCTCGCGGCCGGTCCTCTAGGAGGAAGCCTAAGGAGAGCTCTAATACGGGGATGGAGAGGTGCGGCTCGTCGAAACGACCGAACGAGATGAGGTCGGCGGGGAGGGAGGAGGGCGAGAGGGGCTGAGTGGTTGTGGTAGCAGCAGCGGCGGAATCAGAATCAGCAGCACCACCCTCAGAAGCATCAGCAGCATCAGCAGTATCAGCAGCATCAGCAGTATCATCACCAGCAGGAGTACCGGCAGTGTCAGCACCAGCAGAACCAGCAGCAGCAGCATCGACAGCAGCAGAATCAGCAGCGAGGAACATACTGCGAGCATTCACCACTTGAGCCACCTCCTCCATGCCCACACGCAGCACCGACGCCAGGCCCCTTGACAACCTATCATCCAGATGCGGGTCACTCTCCTTGTCAGGGTTCTTTCCCATGAGCGCATTGGTGAGAATAATAAGAAACTCGCTGTATGTCAGCCCGGTAGGCACATTGCCTGCGCCGTAGCTGTCGCGCATCCACTGCGGCGCGCCCGTGGTGGGATCTATGTGGTACTTCTCGTAGTCTGCTGCGAAGTAGAGCGCTGCGTGGTGCGGGAGAAGGAAGTAGGTGAGCGAGCGGGACCGGATCCCCGGGAGTGTGTCTGCGGAGGGAGAGGTGGAGGAAGAGGAGGAGGAGGAGGAAGAGGAGGAGGAGGAGGAGGTGGGAGGGGACGTGGTCGGAGAGGAGTAAGGGCGTGGTGTGCGTGGTGCAGAGGCGGATCCAGTGCTTGAGATCCTCTAGAGCTGCCTGCATGCCGCCCAGCGATGGCAGGGAGACGGCTTGGAACTCTGTGGTCTGGGCGAAGGCGCTGCAGAGGAGCGATGTGGCCTGCTGCCAGGGTTGCTTCTGTAGGGGTGAAATGGGGGCGAAGGGGAGGAGGGAGGAGGGAGGAGGGCGGAAGGAGGAGAGAAGAGTTTTGAATCGACTCTAATGCCGTTTTGCTGCAGAGGAGCGATGTGGCCTGCTGCCAGGGCTGCTTCTGTAGGGGGTGAAATGGGGGAACGAGGAGGAGAGAAGAGTAGAGGTTGATTTGTGAGAAGAATTTTTGTTTCGAGGCGAGATAACACGAAAGAGGAAGGAGGGAGGGAGAGAGAGACGGGGGGCGGAGGGAGAGACAGAGGGGGGGGAGGGAGGGTGGAAGGGAAAGGGGGAGGGAGGGAGGGAGGGAGGGAGGGAGGGAGGGAGGGAGGGAGGGAGGGAGGGAGGGAGGGAGGGAGGGAGGGAGGGAGGGAGGGAGGGAGGGAGGGAGGGAGGGAGGGAGGGCGAGAGGGAAGGAGGAGGGAGGGAGAGAGGAAGGAAGGGTGGTAAGTAGGGAGAAAGGGAGAAGGTAAGGAAAGGAGGAGTCGGTCAACATGGATGAGCAGTGGTGAATACACGAGGCAGCAGCAGCGGCAGTGGCAGTGGCACAATGAACATCATCTCAGAGCACAATGAACATCATCTCAGAGCACAGCACCTTGAGCCGGCCCGGCACAAGCAGTGACCTTGCTGTGCTCTGGCCCACTTGCACGATGCCACGTGGCACCGGGAGCTCCCGCGCGGCTGCCAGGTCAGCACCGGAGGGAAGCAGGGAGGAGCGTGCGAGAGCTACAAAGTCGCTAGGGGTGCCGGATACTAGCGATCGGGTAGAGGCGTCCTGGGGAGGATGGGGAGGGGGAAGAGGAGGGGGACGAGGAGGGGGGGGGAAGGAAGGGGATGGGGAAGGAGAGAGGGGAGGGGGAGGGGGAGGGGGAGGGGGAGGGGGAGGGGAGGGAGTGTTTAGAGAAAGGGAGAGATGCCAAGTATGCTGTGAGATGGAAACGATAGCTATAAAGGGGTTTGCTATAAATAGCTAGTGCATCAAACCCACTGAGGCTTCCCAGACACACATGCACACGCATGATGGGTGAGGTGAATACTGGGAAAGCTGAGTCCCCAGAAAGAGAGGGAGAAGGAAGAAGCACAAGAAGACGCAAACATAGGTCATAAAGAAACCGTCGTGAGTGAGTTGAAATACCCATATATTCATCCATGATGGAGCCGAGGCGGAATTGCATGCTCATTGCCCTTGCCATACATTCATCATACACATTGCACATTCTTGTCGCGTACATACCCTGAAGGGCTTTCGAGTCGACTCTCAAAAGTCATTTTGTCACATGCATACCCCAAAGGCGGTGAGTGTGGAGTGGAAGCAGAGGGGCGGTGGCGGCACGCCGAGGTTGATAACGGTTTGTAGTGTGCGTACAGACCTCCCCCCGACACTGCCACAGCGAGCCACCGCATGAACTCCTGCAGTGAAAAGGGCGAGGGGCGCGGGGTGAGGGGCGTGGGGTGAGGGCCGGGGGCAGGCCGAGGTTGATAAAAGTGTAATGCACGTACAGGGCTCCCCCAGACACTGTCATTGCGAGCCATCGCATAAACTCCTGCACACGTGGGCATGGGTGAGAGGGAGAGCGCGGGTGACGGTGAGGGAAGAAGGGAGAGCGGTGGGCGTGTGGTTGGGCTGTAACACACCACAGTGAGGGTGACACGTGAACACACCTCCCCCTCAGACACTGCCCTGGCATGCCTGCCAGGCCGCTCTCATGCCAGCCAGGCAGCCTGGTGCAAGAGCTGGAGGCAACCTGCCAGAGGTCAAGCACATGGCGGGGCGGAGCGGGCATGACAGCCGCCTAGAAGCCACGCCAGTCCAGTCCAGTCCAGTCCAATACTGTCCAGTCCAGTCCAGTCCAGTCCAGTCCAGTCCAGTCCAGTCCAGTCCAGTCCAGTCCAGTCCAGTGCAGGCCACTGGGCGAGTGTTGCCACTGCTCAACGTCAACGTCAACATGAACGTCAGCTCACCCAGTTGCCAGCCTTGGCGCGCTGCTGCAGGTTGGGGAAGAGCGGGTGCCGCCCCGCATGCTTCTTCTGCAGCACCTGCGGCGCCCACCCTGCCCGCTGCCAGCTCAGCTGCCATGACGTCACCAGCCTGTGGGGGGGACGCGTAGGGTGGGGGTGGGGGTGGGGGTGGGCGTGGCGTTGGGCGTGGGGATGGGGGTGGGGACTAGGACCGCAGTCGTGGGGAAATGCACCTGCGAGGGTTCGTGTGTGAGAATAGACTGGTAAGGCTGTATAGGAAACTATATTCAGTACAAGAGGTGAGTGAGGCAGTGGGAGTGAGGCAATATATTCTCCCTCCTCCCCCTCTTCCTTCCCTGACCCCACCTCCACCTTCCTTCGCTTCTTCTCTGCTTCCCCACTTCCTATCCACCCCCCTCTCCCTCACGCAATTTCCCTTCCTCCCATACACACCCCCTACCCTATCCCCTCTCACAAAAGTTTCTTTCACAACCTCTCCCGCCAATCTCTCCCTGCAACCAACAACCCCCCACCCCCCATCCCCCACCCCCCACCCCGCACGCACTTCTCTTCGTCCTCCAGCTTCCCCTGCACGCTGTTCAGGTCAAAGAACGTGTACACCGCACACCGCCCCCCCGCGCTCTCCGCGCTCCCCGCGCCCTCATCCGCCGCGCGCAGCACCCCCTCCTCCTCCCCCCACGCCGCTGCTAGCCCCGACACTCCGCTGCCTGCAGGGATAAGCACGCGACGCGCGCGGCGAGAAGGGGCGGAGACAATAAGAGGAGAAGAGAAGGTGGACGGGACGGGGAAAGCGGTGGTGGGAAGGGGGAAGGGGCGGGGGGAAAAAGGGGCCAGAGGAAGGGGATGGGAAAAAGATTGAGGTTTGTTCGTCGGTGAAGAAAGATTCTGCGTAATGGAATTTGGCCGAGTTATAGTACTAAGAGCAACCGCTGGGGCAGCAGCAGCAGCAGGGGCAGCAGGGGCAGCAACGGCAGAGGCGGCGGCAGCAGCAGCAGCTGCGGCAGCAATGAATGGCACCTGACGAGTCGGAGGAGGGCGGAGAGATGAGGCCAGCGAGCAGCGAGAAGAGCATCCAACCGAGCAGCACCACGGCGGCCGCCGCCACCGCCGCGAACGACAGCCGGTTGCGCTTCGCCGCGTCGATCAGCGACGACAGGCGCGACCGCGGCTCCAAGTCGTCGTGCCGCTCCACCTGCATGGGGCGCCGCGCGCGACTCGACGACGCGGGGAGCGCGGAGGACGAGGACGAGGAGGAGGAGGATGCGCCTCCGCCACGCGCGCCATCTGCGCTTCCCGCCGATTCCCCGTCGCTGCGCAGCAGACTGCTGCCGTCCTCCATCGCGTCTGCCGGCTCGTCTGCCGGCTCGTGCGCGGATGGTCTGCCGCCGGCAAAACTGCTTTCTTCTGAGGGTTCGCTGGGGGGCGACGGGACGAGACGGGAGGCCTCCGCCTCGCGGTCACTCGAGGGCATGCCGAAGGGAGAACAGATTCTTGCTACGCGCCGAGTCTAAAGAATTTCGAGGCGTCTAAATAAACCGAGCGCGGCCCTGTTGAGCGAGCCTCACCCTCAGGACGTCGGTGTCATTCAGCCCGGAAGACGCGCGGAAAGGAAGAAATTTTCGTGAAATTTGTGAAAAAGTAAGGTGCTTGCGTCTAGGAATTCGTGGTTGGGCGAGGAGTGCACATGTGAAAGGTAGGTCAGGCAGAAAGGTGGATGCATGTATGCCGGCCAGGGGCGGAATTGGGTAAATTCTGGGTTTGGAGAGGGAATGGTATGTTGGTTGGGAAGGAAATTGTACTCCCTAGTATGCCGCCGTCTTCCAAAAGAGGGTTATTACTTTTAGTGGTGATACATGATATACATAAGAAGCCTTTCTTTAGTGAAAAGTCCAATCCATGTCAAGCCTGGGAGTCTGGGAGTAGAGGAGTTCGACTATTTTGGATTTGGATGTCTTGATTATCTCCAAAAATATGTGCGAGCATGCAGGTTAGAGGTTAATACTATCCAATTATAAGCTCCATACATGACGACGGGAAAGACATTCGCACCATCTACATTGCAAACTTATTCTTGTGCCATTCTAGTTATAGAGACTATGTCTACACTTCATTGAATTCTAGATTACGGTTTATGTCAACTGCCCATTCAAGCGGCCGCCAAAAACCAGGTTTGTGAGTGCCGTTAGTTCTGGAAGATTTGAAAGCTCGTGTTCTTCATTGTCGGAAGATGATCGTTGCTCGTCACAAAGAGTTATACTTAGGTACATACAGCTAGACATCAAACAAAGTACCAGACGAACGCCGGTATGTTTCAACAGTCGTTCCAGCCTTCTTACGAGCCGAAGTGGAAAAGCTGGGAATTTTACATTTCTCAAACAGCTCCGCATACGCGGCTCGAAAACCCCCAACAGCTAGAAGCAGAGAGGCGTGCATTGCGGGGTAAGTGCACGCCCCCGCGACGCGAGAGGTGGCGTCACGGAGCGCACTTTACTCAACATCGGAAGTTGGAATGGAATCCAAGAAACAACACCTCTGAATGGTGTAGGGATATTGCTCCGCCCCCACCTAACACCTCGCTCGCCAAGGACCAAATTGGGCTGCATAAAAATTGCAGAGCTCATTTCAGCCCCTGTTCCAGTCAAGCCTGGAATCGACCACACCGTATACATTTCTTTCCGTACACGACTCATTCCCGACACGCATCTCATCTCCAAAAGCCGTGACTTTACCCGTTGGTGGACACAGGAGAGATGGTTTCAGATTCATGAAAGGCGCGCTAGTAACAATAGAAGCCATTATTGCAATCGCCTCGCATTACGCTTTGTCAGACAGATTCGTGACGACTGCCAGCCTGTCGAATCATTTTTAGTCTTCACGCGTTCCATCCATCATATAATCGCGTCCGCTCGTCGTTGTTCTAAGTAGAGGGCTCTACGCTGCTCTCTACCGACTGCCTTGATGCAATATTGTTCAAGAACAGCCCGTCCTGGACAACCACCCTCTCGACCATTAGCTGACTCCGCCACGCGAGCACAGAAGCGGAATCTGAGGAAGAGGTGGGGAGTGGGGTCAGTCTAATCGCGTTGCTGCCCCCACACCCCCACCCCCCTGTCGTGTGATCATTACGGGATATAAGAAGAGAGGAGTGGAGTTATTTTACACAAGCGTGATTCAAGGAGTGGGGAAAGGGGTCACTTTAATCGCGTGAAAACAGCGGGATCCAAGGGGGAAGCGGAGCTAGATGCCATGGCAGTGGACGCAGCCATGGCACACACGGCGGCGCCGCAGCGGCCTTCCGTCATCTCCCGCCTCGCGCGTCTAAGGGAGCTGAAGGAGAAGGTGCAAGTCGTCGCCGCTGCCGCTTCCGCTGCCAAACCTTCTGCGACTGCGACTGCGACTGCGGCTGCGACTGCGACTGCGGCTGCGACTGGGAACGCGACTGTTGCTGCGGTCCCTGGGGCGCCTCACTTGAAGCCTGCAGTATACCACTCCAGCACTCACGGATCCACTTCGACAGCACCCAGCGCCGCTTCCACTACCTCTCCGTTGGGCACGCAAGGACATGCTCCTACTGTCTCTGCGGTACCAGGGGGAACCGCAGCGGCGTTACTATCTCCGGCGAGCGCCGCCGCGACGGCAGCGTCGGGGGAAAGCGCTGGCGCGGGCCCGCGGCAGGCGAGACGCGGAGATGTCTCCGCCGGTGTCGTTTCCGCGGAGCCGAGGGCGGCCCCAGCGGCGCTAGCTCCGGCTGCTGCGCCTGATGCGCACGCCTGCCGCAACGATGAGCCGAGCGCGGGTGGCAGCAGAATCCACTACAACGGAAGTCCGTTGACGGACGACGATGGTGATGATACTATTACTAAGAGTCTCGCGACGGGGATCCCTGATCAGCCACAGCAGCTGCCGGCAGCTGCTGTGATTTCCGTCGCGACAGGGATCCCTGATCAAGCGTCAAAATCCGCCACAGCAGCTGCACGCACCTCGATGCCCACGGCGCGCTTGCTGTGTCGACCAGATGCCGCTCCCCCACCCCCTCCCCGTCCATCACTCCCTTCCTTCCCCGCTGCGCCTGCCTCCGTCGCTGCGCCTTCCTCGCCGGTCGTTGCGCCTTCCTCCCGCCCCGCATCTGTCTCCCGTCTACCACGCCATTCGATAACCCCCCTTCCCTTCATGCCCTCTCTGCCCTCACTTCCTCCCCCTCCGCTTCCGCCGCTGCTGGCGGAAGCAGCCCCGCCTGAGGCAGCCTCACCCGCGCGCCTTCCGCCCGCTCCCGGACGCTTCCTCGCGCCAGTGACGCTTGAGGCGTCTCACAGTGCGCTCTCTCCCAGGCGCTTCCCCGCGCCAGTGACTCTACAGCAGCAGGTGGCGGCTTTTGAGGCGCCTGAAAAGCCGGTGCTCTCCGGTGCGGGTACGGTGAGGTGGGTGAATCCGATGTTCGGCGCGGGGGAGGAGGGCAGCGCGGAGAACGAGCAGGAGGCGGTTGGTGAAGAGGCGGGGGTAGAGGCAGGGGCAGGGGAAGGGGAAGGGGCAGGGGCAGGGGAAGGGGAAGGGGAAGGGGAAGGGAAAGGGGAAGGGGCAAGGCGGGATGAGGTGATAGAAGGTAAGGGGGGCGGAGGGGCGCATGAGAGGGAGGATGGTGAGGTGCAGGATGGGCGGCACTATGCGGGGGAGGATGGTGAGAAGGCCGAGGGACAGTCCGCGACATGGTATGCGGAGGAAGGGGAGGTGGAGAGGGGAGAGGAGGAGGTGGGGGAGGAGGAGGGAGAGGAGGAGGGAGAGGAGGAGGGAGAGGGGGAGGAAGAGGAGGAGAAGGGTTCGTGGCTGGGTGAGAGGTGTGATGCGAGGAGGGGATTGGTGAGGTGCCATGACACTAACCCCCCCACCATCACCACCACCAGTAGCACCACCGTCACCACCACCAACAGCATTGGTGGCAATTCGGTCAGCGCACACCACGACTGCATCGCGACTGCACCGCCGCTCACTGTCATTGATGCGCCATTCGCCTTCCCCGCCCTCCTCGCATGCCCCGAATCATCCCCCGAGGATCTCCCCCTCTTCCCTTCCACTTCCCTTAGTCCCTCCACCTCCCCCACTAACCCCGTCGTCCCCTGCGGGGACCTTACGCCACCCCCTGTTTCCTTCATTTCCCCCGAAGGTCCCCTCGTTCCCGCCTTCCGCTCCAGCCTCGGCTTCCCCCTAAACTCCGCCTTCTCCTTAGCCCCCATCTCCGCTCTGTCCGCGGCTTTCGCTCCGCGCGCCTCCCCGCCGCCTCCGCGCCCGCTTTCCGCCATCGGGCAGGAGAGCGAGGACGAGGGGGGGTGCGTGAGCGGACTTATCGCAGCCGCAACAGCAGAAGCAGCAGCTGAGGGGGGTGACGGCGGCAGTGGCGCTGGCGCTCGCGGTGGCGGCAGCGGCGGCGGCGGCGGCGGCGGCGGCGGCGGCGCTGGTGGTGCTGTTGCTGTTGCTAATGTTGCTAATGTTGCTATTCCTGGTGCTTCGACAGCTGCCTCTGGCGATGGCAGTGATAAGGACAGTGTTGCTGTGCGTTATGGAGTCGTAGAGATAAGCGGAAGGAAGGAACGGGGACTCTTGCCGGAAACGCGTGACACAAGCGGCGCAAGTAACGGCTCAAGCGACGCAGGGGGAGGCGGAGGAGAAGGCGGAGGGGAAGGCGGAGACGGAGGCGGAGAGGGAGGCGGAAAGGGAGTGGGGGGCGGAAGGGAGGCCGAAGAGGAAGGCGGAGGAAGCAACGAAGGGGAAAGCGGAGGTGGAGGCGAGGGGAAGGCGGAGGGATTGGCGGAGGGATTGGCGGAGGGATTGGCGGAGGGATTTGCGGAGGGATTGGCGGAGGGATTTGCGGGGGAGCTGATGCGGTTAGGGGCGAGCGCGGAATGGGGGCTCGCGGGGTGGTTTAGGGGCGCGGGAAGCGTGTGGGATTCCGGAGATGGTGGGGTGGGGGGGGGAGGGGAAGAGCGGGGCAGGAATGGGATGGTGGAAGTCAGGGAATTGCGAGTGTGACGTCATCGTTAGAGGTGAGAGAGGAACGGTGTTGCGATCATCATGCTAAACGGTGAGGGCGGCTTGATTGCACTGCATACTCCAGCGCACACCCTCTCGCACACGCGCACGCAGGCACACACCAAGGCACAGACGCACCCACCCACCCACCCACCTCATCGCTACCCGGCCTCCCCCCACCCCCCCTATCCGCGTTCCCTTCCCCTCTTCCCCCACATGCAGAGTCCGTTTGCCTTCCCCCTATCGCTGGTCCGCGACCCTTCGTCTTCCCCGCGCCTGTTCGGGTGGGCGTGGGGGGCCAGCGGCACAAGGGGCGCGCGCGCGGACGGCGGAGACGCGGGGAGTGATGTGCTTGCAGAGGAAGGGGACGTACTAGCGGGGACGCGGGATGGTGATGGGGAGAGGGAAGGACGGGGGAAAGGGGAGCGGGAGGAGGAGGGGGAGTGCGAGGGTATGGGGGAGGGCGCGCGGGAGGAGGAGGGGGAGGGTGAAGGGATGGGGGAGGGGGAAAGGGAGGATGAAGGTGTAGAAGAGGGAGATGGCGGGGGGTTGTGCGAAGAGAGCAGGCTAGATGCGGGTGGAGGGAAGGGTGGTGCGGAGGGGGAAGAGGACTTTGGGGAAGGGGAGAAACCAATGCGGCGGGAGGAGGAGGGTGAAGCAGAGGCGCAAGCGAAGGGGAAAGAGTGCACATACGGGGAGGTGCGGGGGGAGGCAGTGGGGGATGTTACGGGGGAGACGGGGATGAGCAAGAGAGGTAGCAGAGGCAAGGGCGGAGGAAATGGAGAAAGGGAAGATGATGGGGTGAGGTTGGTGGTACAGGAGAGTGGTGCGGAGGAGAGCAGAGGAGAAGGTGGTGAGGGGTTGACGGGTGGGAAGGGAGGTGAAGAGGAGGTGAGTGGTGGATTGGAGCAAGGGCAGAATGATAATGGAGAGGACGGTGGAGGAGAGGGAGGAGGAGATGGAAGCGTAGAGGGAGGAGGAGAGGGAGGAGAGGGAGGTGGAGAGGGAGGAGGAGAGGAAAGAGAGAGAGGAGCAGAGAGAGGAGGAGAGGGGAGGAGCGGCAGTGGGAGCATCAGGAGGGGAAGAGCAGACGCAAGGTATGGGCGGAATGATGTGGTCGGGGCTGGGCGGTGGAATGGTGGCTGCAGCAGCGGCGTTTGGCGGGTGGAATGGCCTCACACGCCTGGCCAAGATGCGCGCACGCAGGGGGACGGCAGACAGAGACAGGGAAAGAGGAAGAGAAAGAGAAGGCGGGTTGGAGGCTGGGCACATGGGTGCAGGCATGGGCATGGAAATCGGTATGGGGATGGGTATGGGGATGGGGATGGGTATGGGTATGGGTGCAGGGGAAGCAGGGGAGGATGCGTTTTCGCAGAGCAATGCGGACGAGGAGGAGGATGCCATGGGGTCATCATCGTCTCACGTGCTCATTGAGCCGGGGCTGGACCTTGCCAGGCTGGACTTGGTCGCTCTTGACGTGGCGTCCTCTGCTGCTGACGTGGAAGAGGAAGAGGAGGACGGCGCTGTTGCTGGTGCTGGCGGTGATGGTGGTGGTGGTGCTGGTGGCGGTGATGGTAGTTTGGAATCCGGGCCGTACAGTGGTGGTTCGGGGGAAATGTTGCTGGGGGGAGTGAGAGGGGTAGGGGGCATTGGGGGAATAAGGGGAAGACACGTGGATTTAGATGGAATCGAGAGAGCTGGAAAGGCGTGTTTGTTCAGAGAGGAGGAGGAGGAGGAGTGGGAGGATGAAGTGAGTGAGGGGGAAGGAGGGGAGTATGGCGGAGGTGGTGGGTTCGATTTTGTGGGCAGCGGAGGAGAGGGAGGGATTGGGGAGGGAGAGGGGGCGGATGAGGAGGAAGTGGGTGTGGCTTTTGGTGATAGCCGTGATGGGGGGAGGACGTATGACGAGGATGAGGAGGAGACGGAGGCGGAGGGGGAGGAGGCGAGGGACCAGGGGAGAAGAGAGGCAGAGGTCTTGGAGGGGCCGGGAGGGGAAAGCGAAGAGGTAGAGGAGAGAGGAAGAGACGAGAGGGAAGGGGATGAGGAGGGGGGAAAGGAAGGCAGTAGGGAGATTGGAGTGGAAGATAGGGGGAAGTTGAAGGGATGGAAGGAGGAAAACGATGGGGAGGAGGAGATTACGCAAGGGGACGAGGGAACGAAGGAAGTGCAGGAAGAAGCAAAGGAAGAAGGACCCAATGGAATTCGGGACGGGCATGATGCTGCAAGCCAAACGCAGCTGACAGCAAAAAAGACACACGATGGCATGGGGGCGCGAAACGGAGAGAACGGCACAGCAGGGAGGCGGGGCGAATGGGCTCGAGATCTCTGCTCTGTTGCTGTCCAACACCCAGTTACTGCTGTTCACCCGGCATTCTCTGCTGATCAGCCGGCATCTACAGCTCAGCTGGTGGAGCCTCTTCACCAGTCTCCTCCTCAGCTCTCCTGCGGGCACCTGCAGCATTCCTCTCAGCCGCTGTTGCCCTCGCTCCCTTTCCCGTACGGCTCCCCACAGCGTTTATTGTGTTCGGAAGCACGGCCTGAGCCTGTTAGTAGCAGTGAGGGGTGCGTGGGCGGCAGGAAGAGGAGGAGGGAGGAGTGTGCGGTGGGAGTGAGGGAGGTTGCAGCACGGCAGCAGGAGGCACAGGGGTGTGAGGGGGAGGAGGGCGAGAGGCTGGAGGAGTGGGAGGTGGAAGGGAAACTGGGAAAAGCAGAGATGGAACTGAAGGAGGAGCGAGTGGAGGAGGAGGAGGAGGAGGAGGAGGAGGAGGAGGAGGAGGAGGGGGAGGAGGAGGGGAAAAAGGAGGAGGAGGGGAATTGGGAGGAAGATGGGGAAGGGTTGCTGGAGATGGATAGAAGTAGGGGAGCAAGTGGTAGAGAGGTGGCTGAGGAGGGCAAGAGCGCAGGAGGAATGGTGCCTTCGAGCTCATGGCATTCCACAGACACTGACATTGATGCTGATGCTGATGCTGATGCTGACACTGATACTGATACTGATGCTGATGCTGATGCTGATGCTGATGCTGATGCTGATGGCGGGAAGCATGATAGCCGGAGGACACTGCTGCCGCTTCTGCCGCTGCCACCACCACCGGCACCACCGGCAACACAAGTGCCTGAAGGCACAACACGGTTGGTCGAGCCAGGGCTGACAGCAGAAGTAGCAGCACCAGCAACAACAGCACGGATAAAGGCAGCAGCAACTGTGACTGTGACTGGGGATGATGCAACGGAGTACATTACTGAGGTGAGCCCATCGTTTTGAGGTGAGCCCATCGTCTTGAGGTGAGCCCATTGACTTGACGTGAGCTTATGCAGCACTCCTCAGGTGGCTCAATGGCTCTCATGTGACTTCCGATCGCTCTTCCTTTCCCTTCTTTCGCTCCTCTCAGTTCCACCCACCCTCCCTTCTTTCTTGCTTGCTCGCCTTTCCCCTCCCACCCGCTTCCCCTTTCTCCGCTTGCCCTCGCCACTATCCTCACCTCCACATTCCCATCCCCTTATCCCCGTTATTAGCTGGGGGAGACCCTGGAGAGCGCGAGCACGCAGCAGGAGGCGTGGGAGGTGAAGGCGAGACGCGCAGAGGCGGAGGTGGGGGCTCTCAGAAGACAGGTGAGCCAGCACTAACCTCTACCCTAGCCAATCCCTCCCTCCACCTCTCCACTCCCTTCACTCTTCATCATCGCTCCCCTTCTCTGCGTCCACCTCCTCAGCGTTGTGCTTCCTTCTCTCGCACGCAACGGTGATTTTCTAGGCAACCTCATAATCTTCGTCCCCCTCCTCTTCTCCCCCTTCCCCCCCCTCCTCCCTCCTCCCCCCTCCTCCTCCCCGTTCCACCATGAAATGAACCACCAGCTATCGCAGTCAACCGCAGCGAGGGAGCACGTGAGCGCAGGTCTGCGGCAGCAGGTGCAGGTGGAGCGGCAGAGGAGAGGGCGGGAGAGAGGGGCACAGGTGGAGGAGCGGCAGCAGTGGGTGCAAGCAGTGATGCGCCTCAGAGCTGCTGTTAACCCGCGCCTGGCGCATACAGGCGGTGTGGGAAGAGGAGCGTGGGGAGGAGCGTTGGGGGGAGAGGGACGAGGGGAGGGCGGCGGGCTGGGGAGAGGAAGAGGAGTGGTGCTGACGGGGTTTGGGAGGGGTGGTGGGGGGCTGTTATCCGGGCCTGGTATGGGAGAGGCCGGGAGGGGTGCAGGAGAAAGGGGTTTGTATGGAGGAGGTAGTGGTGAGAGAGGAGAGGGTTGGGAGGAAGGAGAGGGAAGAGGAGTTGGCTCTCACAGCAGCAGCAGCACGAGTCTGGTTGCACTCGGTAGCAGCAGTGGCATGCTTACCACTGGTGGCTACTGGGCTGGTTCAACCTGTGAGGAGAATGGAGAGGCGGAGGGAGAGGAGGACGCAGCAGTAGGGAGTGACACACTGCGGGTGATTCAGGCAGTTCTGGGTCTCATGCAGGTGGGAGCTTCCAGGAAGGTGCTGCTTGGGGGGGTGGGAGGGGATGATAGGGAGGGAGAGGAGGTAGCTGGTGTAACGGAGGGATGTAAACGGTTGGCCTTGTGTGAAAGCGAGGGCTGGCAGAGGGATGGTGAAGAGGGAAGAGCTGGTGGTGGGAATGAGTTGAAGCCGGTGGAGTGCGGTTTGGTGCGAGAGGTAGAGGGGAGCGAGGAGGAGGTGGGTGTGGGAGGAGGAGGAGAATGGGATGGAGATGTGGAGGTGGTGGAAGATGGTGAGGCGAGAGGTGGATTGAGATTTCGGAATGAAGAGGTGGAAGCAGAAGCAGAGGAGGTGGGAAAGGAGGAGGATGAGGAGGACGAAGAGACTGAGGAGTGGGTGGAAGGGGAAGAGATTGACTTAGAGGAAACGGAGGAGCAACAGGAGGAGGACGGAGAAGAGGACGAGGAATATGAGGAGCATGAGGAGTACGAAGAGGAGAAAGGGAGTGAAGAAGAGGAGCTAGAGGAGGATGTGTCAAAGGAAGAGGTGGACGGGGAAGAGGAGTGTGAAAATGGAGATGAAGTTGAAGATGCAGGGGGGGTGGAGGAGGAGGAAGAGGAAAATGAAGAGGAGGAAGAAGAAGAAGAAGAGGAGGAAGAGGAGGAAGAGGAGGAAGAGGAGGAGGAAGAGGAGGAGGAAGGAGAGGAAAACTTGGAGGAAGATGGGGAAGAGGAAGAAGAGGAGGAAGTAGAGGAGGAGGAAGGGGAGGAAGAAGATGAAGAGGAAGAAGAGGAGGAGGGGGAAGGGGAGGAGGAGGAAGAAGAGGAGGAGGAGGAGGAGGAGGAGGAAGGGGAGGAAGAAGAGGAGGAAGAAGAGGAGGAGGAGGAAGGGGAGGAGGAGGAGGAGGAGGAGGAAGGGGAGGAGGAGGAGGAGGAGGAGGAAGAGGAGGAGGAGGAGGAGGAGGAGGAGGAGGAGGAGGAGGAGGAGGAGGAGGAGGAGGAGGAGGAGGAGGAGGAGGAGGAAAACGAGGAGGAAAAAGTGCCGAGTGTGAGGGAGAGACATGAAGGAGATGGGAAAGACGGGGCTCAGCACAGCAGAGCGAGGAAGGAAGATAAGGATGGGGAAGCGGCGCAGGAGCAACGGAGGCAGCAGCAGATTGCAGAGGAGGTTGCGAGGCTGAGAGCAAGGCTCAAGGAGAGAGAGAGGAAGGTGGCTTTGGAGAGAGAGAGGTTGAGGCAGAAGGAGGAGGAGCTGGAAAGGCAGCGAGCGAGAGGGAGGAATGTTGCTGCTGGGAGGGGCGAAGAGCAGAGGGCGGTGGTAGAGAGGGTGAGTGAGAGGGAGGAAGGCGGTCAGCTGCACGGTGGGGAAGAGTGGAAGGCACAGCAAGCTGGCGGTGAACAGTGGCAAGTGAGGAACAGGCTGGCAGCGGGCAACAGTGGGAATGCAGTAGGGGCTGAGACGGGCCGGGTGAGAGGGCAAAGAGAAGACAATGAGGTGGTGACGGTGAGCGAGGGGACAAGCGAGGGCACGAGCGAGGGGACGAGGGATGGCGGAGGGAAGGTGGTGGTGGAGAGGAAGCAGTGGCTGCAGCGGGCCTCTTCCATCTTGCATAGCCTGCGCTCGTCCCTCCACCACGATCACCGTGGCAGGAAAACCGCACTCTCTCTGCAGCAGCATGCCGCACATGCTCCGTCAGCTGTCGCTCCCTTGCCTCCGCCCTCTTCTCCTGCTGCTGCTGCTGCTGCTGCTGTGGTTGGGAGCAATACCACCGGTAGCTTGTTTCCTGCTGCGGCTACTGCTGCTCCTGCATCTGTGGCTGCTTTGTCGGGGACCAGAAGTGGAGCCAGCGCCCTCTTGCTCTCTCGCACATGCTCTGCTGAATCCTCTGTCTCCATCTCCTCCTCCCTTGCCCCTTTCGCTACCTCTCTCTCTGCTGTCTCTGCCTCCTCGCCGCTGTTCTCGCCACCTCCCTCCTCCTCCACCTGCTCCTCCTCGCATCCCTCCCCATCCCCCAGTCTATCATCTTTCGCACGCCTCAACTCTTCTGAGCGTCGGTCTGGAGGGAGGGGGTCCTCTGCTGCTGCTGCTGCTGCTGCTGCTGCTGCTGCTGCTGCTGCTGCTGCTGCTCTTCCACTGCCACAAGAATCAACTGCAGGAGCAGATAGAGCATCCTCATTATCCATGGCAGCAGCACCACCAGCAGCAGCAGCAGCTGCAGGGTTGCGTGGTGTTGGGGTGCGTGGGTTGCCACTCTATGCCATCCCTGACATACATCTTGAGACATCAGATGCTGAGGAAGGAGGAGGCCGTGAGCATGAGACCAATGAGTCAAGTGCGAATTCTCTTGTAGGCTGGCCGGAGCAGCAACAGCAGAAGCAGCAGCAGCAGCAGCAGCAGCAGCGGCAGGGGGAGGAGGAAATTGGCAAGCGGTCCGTGTCAGAGCAAGAGAGAATAGGAATAGAGGAAAGGAATGTTGAGACTGTGCGGGTGGAGGGTAGAAGGTGGAGAGGGGTGATGAATCCGTGGAAGCAACGAGGGCGGGGAGGAAACGGAGGAGGTGTGGGAGGTGTGGGAGGTGGGGGAGGGGAAGAGAACAGCAGGGGGGTGCCTCCAGCTGTAGAGGGTAACACTTCCAAGTTCACAGACGTGGACGAGGCACCATCTCCATCAACAAGCAGGAGACTCCAGTCCTCCCATTCTTCTTCTGCCTTCTCAGGTTTCCACTTCCCTCGCTATCCTTCTCCGCGCCGTGTTTGGCCGGCTGCCTCTTCTGACCCTTCACCCACTGCTGTTGCTGCTGCTGCTGCTGCTGCTGCTGCTGTGAGAGGTGATGCCAAGATCTCAGCTGCTGCGGCCGCTACGAGCAGCAGCAGCACCAGCAGCAGCTTGCAGTCTGGTTCGCTCATCTCTCATGGTAGTTTCCCCAGCAGCCGGAGCGGCAATGACAGCAGCGGTGGCGGCAAAAGCACTGCCTGGGTGGGCAGCGGTGGAGGTGGCGCGCGGAGCAAGGCAGGCATGGGTGATTCCAGAGGCGATTCCAGAGGTGAAGACGGCTGTTTAAGAGCTGACGGGTTTTCCACGGATGGTAGCAGCTCGTTTCCATCCTCATCAATAGCGGCACGAGGCTTGCCACGGCCCGCATCCCCCATTCGAGCCCTGTTCCCACATGGCCTCTGGACTGGCAGCCCTAGGCGGCAGAGAGCCGTGCCAGCAGCAGGTGGAGGAGGAATGCTGCAGCAGCAAGCAGCAGCATTGATTAGAGGTGGTTGAGAGTGGTGCAGAGTGCCAAAGCAGCATCCCTGCAGAGAAGAGGTTTCTGAGACAGCTGTGGCTTGGAAAGAGAGGAGATGTGGCTGTGGCTGTGGCTGTGGCTGTGGCTGTGGCTGTGGCTGTGGCTGTGGCTGTGGCTGTGGCTGTGCCTGTGCCCTGGATAGACAGGGAAAGTCTGGTTGTGTATGTAACAACAACCTACTCCAGTCAATAACCTTGGTGGTGCAGTTCAGGTGTTCATTGCAGAGTGGCTGACAGTAACCGTGAGAGACTTCTCAAGGGAGTGATAACGCTGGTGGTGGCACAAGAGGAAGCAGACACGATGAGTGGTTAATCGAAAGTCAGGACTCAGGGGCGGCTACTCTTTTGGGTCTCAGTACTGTGGTGAATATGAGAAGGAAGCGCGGGGAGGAGAGTAGGTAGAAGCCTGAAAGTGGCTGCTTGTGTCGTTTGTGGTGATTCCAGAAAGATTTAGTATCACTACCTGTAGTGTAGTGTTGTGTGTAAACGAAAATAGGATGTTACTGCTTGGAAGCTTTGGCTGCTTGACAATGCCTTTCTTGGTTGTTTCAGCTGCTACCGTAACATACTCATATCTATGGCAGTCACGCTGCTTCCCTTCCATTTCCATCATTCCATGTGTACGAGAGAAAGTTGGCCAGTTAATGAAAATAACATTCAGGTTCGGTACGAGAGCCGAGCCATCATCTTCCAATGTCCACAGAGAAGATATTGGCTCCTGAGAAGACTGCTGATCAGACAGCAGGCGGGCTATGGTTGCCAATTCTGCACATCATGTGTCATGTTTCATTACCGTACCTCCTAGGCCGTCACTTCCACACACAGAACAATCGGGGCACAAGCTGATTGTTGAGCTTTGAGTCGACTCTAAAGTGAGCTCAAAACTAGTTGGGCAGAAGCTGTTTGCAAGTTAGGCGTGCTCTCGAACATAACCACTGCTGAAGCAGCTGATTTCACACGTAATCCCAGAGCTCGAGCGCTGGAGACCCAGAGAGCTGAAGTTCTGGAGATCTGGAGAGCGAGCCGATGGAGAATCCATCATAGGCTACATCGCACTGCATTCGGCACGGTCTTGACCTGTGAGGATCACTCCAATCTCCCTGAGCTCCTCGTCAAGATCCCCAGGTGGATCTTCCCTCATCTCTTGCACCTCCGTGTCTACCTTGAGTGCTTCTCGCAGCTCCTCTTTTCCCGCCACCTCCTCCCGGACGGCGTGCAGCTGGGTGGCGATGAGCGCCATGCTTGGGCGGCCTGCAGTGCGCTCCACGGTGCAGCTCACTGCCAGCTCAGCCACGCGCAGCACCGCATCCCCGGGAGGGGCGTCCATGCGCGGGTCCCGAAGGCTCTCTATACAGCCGGAGGTGCGGCACTCAGACGCCTGAGGGGGTGCAAAAAGTGGGATAGGGACAGGGTGGAGAAATCGGAAGGGAGAATAGTGCAGGACGAAGCGATGGGAGCAATCAAAAGGCTGGTTAAGAAGTGACAGGAATGGAGTCATGGTGAGTGGCTACCAGTCAGATGGATCACAACACATCGCTGGCCAGGCCACTTGTGCAGGCTCCATTTAGAAAGCATATCCTCATCGCAAAACGAGCTTAGCTGTGAAGTTACGCTAGTCTACCCAAGGCAGGGCACTCAGCCATGCCATGGCATGGCATGGCATGGCGTGGCATGGCGTGGCATGGCATGGCATGGCATGGCATGGCATGGCATGGCGTGGCGTGGCATGGCATGGCATGGCATGGCGTGGCACGTACCCACTGCAGGATGTGTTGGCCATTGCCATCGCAGTCAGTGGGATACGGGCGTCCAGAGAGCACCACAAGCATGAGCACACCAAAGCTGCAAAGAGGGATGGGCGTTGAGAGCTTTTTGACGGAAGTGGTGACAAATCTGAATCACATACGCAGGCAGGGTGAGGGTAAATTCCGTCAATCACAAACTTGGAATGGTGTATTACCGTTAAGCCTCTCCATGGGGTTCCTAGCTCACCTGTAGACATCAGAGGCTATGGTGGCCCTATGCGTTTTAATGTAAGCTGGATCCATATAGCCCGGTGTTCCCACGTGTTGAGTTTTGCCCACTGTCGTGCCCTCTCCCATCCTCGCAACCCCAAAATCTGCAATCTTAGCCTGGTGGGTGTAGGACCAATGGAGCAAAGACAAAAGACATAGATGCTTGGCAAGAAGTAAACCACAATCACGATGGTAGAAACCCAATCATTGGTCCGTTCCAGGCTGGCCCAGACATGTTCAGAGGTAGAGACAAAGTCTGCTACGAGGCCTGCCTGCTGTTAGAAGGAAATGCTATCATGAGCAACAAAATGCTGGTGTTGGGATCCGAACCCGTGACCTTCAATCTGTCCTGAAAGTGTCCCAAGATAGATTCAGAATAGTTTCTGCTAAGACACAGGATTTTTTTGTGCACGCGAGTTTTGATTTGGAGACCTTTCAGTTCAAGTGTCCCAAAAGAGTATTTTCAAGACTGTTTGGAGACAGTTTGGCAACACTGATCTCAGGTCGCCTTCGGACTGAAATTCAACAGCGAATGTCGAAGTCAACGAAATTCGCACGGGAACGATGGTTGACGGAATTTTGGTCGCGAAAATTTTCTACGAAATTCCAGTCAATGGAATTCGTCCGCCAAAAACCTAGACTCGGAATTTCGCGTCGACGAAATTCAGCATGCGACCTGGGTCAACACTTTCTTGTGTGCTTTGTTAATGAATTGCATTTTAGCACAAAACCAGGAAACAAAGACCAGAACTAAGTCATTATGGCTGCTATGTTTGTGTGTATCATTAGCTATAGCTGTCCGTTTCCTGCAAACTTTTGTGAGTTGAAATTGTGTTTCCAAGCTCTATCAAGCTGCTATTGCAACGGACTTGTATGGTGTACAAATATGTCTCTCCTTGGAGAATATTTATTGCTTCTCCATAACCATATGTAATTTTCCCTCAAGGTGAATCCTTGGTGCCTCAATCACACTCCACCCTCTCACTGGACTCGAACCGTCCAAAGCGCGACTCGATCGAACCGCTTTAGACAGTTTAATTTTATGAAAAAAAAAGTCACGTCAACAGAACCGATCCAACGACTTTTTTAGTTTGAGTTGACACAATGGGGTTCAACCGCGGAAACCGCAGTCAAGCTGGTCTCAGCAACTTCATACCCGACACAAAAATAAGCACAAGCGAGTTTGAGTTTCAACTCTCCATTCTAAAATTCGTTGGCCACCTCCCCTCCCCCCCCACATCAACTGTAGATCATGTCGTTTGACCCCTGATCTGCACACCCACTGAGATTTTCACCCACCGATGAATTTGAATCAATGCAGCTCGACTGTCGATACAAGAGACTGCACTTTTTCGTCGATCAGCGTGGCACGGCGAATTCCAACCGCTGATCCATGGACATCGGCAGATCTCAATCGTGATCCGCACAAAAGACTGCTTACTTACTATAGTCCTGTCTGTCAGGCTGGACTCTGCCAACCTGCTATATTCTGCCGGGCTGCAGGTTGACCTCTGAAAAAGCTGGCACGGGTCAGGCCGGCCCGTCACAGCCCAACCGGCCTGGCTCGGGTCTGCCTTGAGCCCATGCCTTAGTCTCAACTCAACCACGTAGCTTAACTATCCACTATCACATGCCCTCACTGGAATGTCCTTACTGGCCTCGCTGCTGCCTCGATGTTACAATGTGGTGCATGATGTTCGATGAGAGCTTGCCTGCATGTTATCTCCAATGAGGATGTTGGCGGGCTTGATGTCGCGATGCACAATCTTGAAGCTGTGGAGATACTCCAGGCCACGTGCAACGCCGATCAGAATGTCCAGCCGCTGCTGTAGGCTCAACGGTTGTGATTCTTCTTCGGGGGGGGAGGGAGGTGGGGGCGGGCGGGGAGGAGAACAGGAAGAAGAAGAAGTTGCAGAATGAGCTGCAAGACAACAGCTGGAGACAACAAGGTGACTTTTAAGTCGACTCAAAAGTCTTCTTCAGGGGAGAGGGGGGCGGGGGCGGGGAGGAGAACAGGAAGAAGAAGAAGTTGCACAACGAGCTGCAAGACAACAGCTGGAGACAACAAATCACGGAGCACATGCAGTGAGGAACTTCGTAGGAACGTAGAGGCCCCAGCAACGGTCTGAGCGGAAGGGGTGTGCCACGAGCCGAGGTGGGGTCGTTCCTTTCCCCATCTGATCCGAGCCAGCTCAGAGCAAGCCAAGCAGGTCAGAGGAAGCCAATTGTGGCCTGCTTTTTAGGTGACTTGGAGGACACAGATTGGCCCGAAGGGGCTACACAGGGCTGGCCTTTAGCAGCTCTACTTGTGAGCTGACAGGGGCTTGTCTGCGAATGATACTAATGCGTAGAATACTAAGCTTGGTGTAATGGAGGGGATGAAGCTTTACTCAATCGATGGATATCAGAAACAAGTGACCAACCAGCAGGGGAATTATGTTTTGAATGAAGAAGCTCGTAGCTTCTGAGTGCTATGTTGATAACTAAGGCTAAGCTCTAGAAGGAATCAGATTTGGAGAAGGGTTTTTCGATTTGGGCCCAAATGTGAGGGCTTGCTCGGGAGTCGTGGTTGTTGTCGACCTATCACGACATGAGCACGGCACACAGAAATGTCACACAGCGACTCGCGGCTGACTCGCAACCGTCTCGCTGAAACGGAGAACAAATACTGCACATTGGCTGAGAATGATTCCGAGCCGAGCCATGCAGTAGGGAGGAAGAAACCCATGAATGAACCCCGCTGTTGCGGGACAAACTTCGACCTTCCCACATACTTTGATTCAACCACTTATGGAGGTCGCCGTTGGGTACAAACTCGTAGATCAGCACTTGCTCTGGCCGCGTCCTCATGTCCCCTCCCACAGCAAACCCAAGCAGCCGTACAATGTTGGGATGGTTCTTATCGGCCATCTGCTGGACCTGATAGCAGAAGAGAGGGCCGAGGAAGAAAGCCGCAAAGAGAGGGCACACATGGGCCATGGGTGGCTCAGCTTCTCCTTGAGTAATTAGCAGGGTTCTAAACAGGTAAGTGGTAGTAGTGGTTCGTGTCCTCCACAAAGAGAAGCTATGCTACACACACGCAGGGCAGCCTGGTTTCAGTCAGTCTGACAGAGGAATCACACTCAGATTCAAGCCACTTGGTTGTCCTGTGCAGCTCACTCACCTCCTTCTGAAAGTCCATGCCTATGAGCTTGGCACGCTTGACAGCCCAGGGGGTGGAGCCATCGCGGGGAGAGACGCCCTTGTAGACATCACCAAAGGTACCCGAGCCAAGCAAGTTGTCCTGCGACCACCCGTTGGTGGCCTTGAGTAACTCCTCCAGTGAGAACTCCGTGCAGTGTGAGGCCGCCAGGCTGGTTCCTGGGCCTGCCCGTGGGGGTCATGGGGCCAAAGAGGTACATGTAAGCCTTAGTTAGCACGGTCGAGGTGACTTGTCATTTGAGCATGCGTTGAGTTGAGGCAAGTCGAACTTTCCAGTCATCCTACCTGGTGGCTTCTGCTGCATCTTGTGCCTGAGGTAAAGCAGCACGGAACCCAGCAGCAGCAGCAGAATGACCACAGCAGCAACAGCAATGCCAATGATGGCTCCCACTGATAAACCACCTCCTCCTCCAGATGCTGCTGGAGAAGAATCGCTGCTGCTGCTGCTGTTTGTGGTCGAACCTACAGGAGCATAGAGCAATGCAGTGGGGAATAGTGATGCTGACAGAACTTGAAACAGTGAGGCCAAATCCAAAGCATAGCTGATTGCATTAAGCCAAGCAGTCGAAGTTTGCACAGGAAACGCTGAAAACCCGCTTCTTGTTTTAAAGCAGAGGCTACAGTGGAACGTGCTCCAAAAAAGGAGCCATCCTTTGTGGTTGCTTGCTTGTCCCATGCCCTGTGCTTGTCCCATGCCCTGTGTTTGTCCCATGCCCTGTGTTTGTCCCATGCCCTGTGTTTGTCCCATGCCCTGTGTTTGTCCCATGCCCTGTGTTTGTCCCATGCCCTGTGCTTGTGCCATGCCCTGTGTTTGTGCAATCCCCTGCCTTATGAAAATTCGTGAACATCATGGCCTTTCTCTGGTGCGAGCGACTGTGCTTGATGGTCTTGCCTGCAGGTTGGCCGCATGTGTTGCAGAAGGAGCGGCACGTCTGGCAGAAGGCTGACTTGGGCGATACTAGCGCTGGGTCACAGCCAGAGGAGTAGTCAGGCGGGCACGTGAGGCTTGTGCCGCTGATGTTGCTGTGGTGAGAAAGGGAGGTGTAAGATGGAAGTTCCACCATGGAACAAAAATGGGGTGGCAGCAGGCCATAGACCGATTACCGCCATTACGCCATCTCTTGCCGTTCTCTCTTGTCTTGATGAATCCTGTTTCAGCACCGAGGTGCTTTTTCCATTTCAAGGCCAGCCATTATTCTCTGTTTACAAGTTAAACTGCCATGTTTATTAGCAGTATGTTATAAGAAATATATGTCAGTTATCGGTAGCAGCCTAGTCTCTCACGTACAGTAAACTGAGGTGACTTTCGAGTCGATTTTTTTTTTTTTTACAGTAGCAGCCTAGTCCCTCACGTACAGTGAATCGAGAGAGAAGAGCCCCAGAAATGTTGGCAGCGTTCCACTGAGGTTGGTGGCATTGACTCTCCTGCAGCAAAAAGAACATTGAGACAGACAGATGTACATGTTGTGGCACGGCAGGCATGAGCAGACTCAAGTGAGCAAGTGCGATGTCACCACCCATCCATGTCACCACCCATCCATGTCACCACCCATCCATGTCACCACCCATCCATGGTGTATGATGTCATGCTAGAGAGCTTCTCACAGTGAGCGGAGCCGACCGAGGGAGGTGAAGCTGTTGGGAATGGAGCCGGACAAAGGGTTGTTGGAGAGGTCTCTGCTTGGATTGGGTGTGGAAAGGAGCGAGTCGAGTTGAAATCAGCGGACGTGGCAGGAGAGTGGGCATGTGGGAACACAAGTGACACTTGGAAAACGGGGGTGATGATGAGTCAAATCAGGTGAGTAACATTGTATGGTGCGAACAGAGGAAAAGGAGCTGTGGCGTTGCGGGCTTGAAGAAATCAGAAGCAGCTGTGGCACATGTTCGAAAGTGTGTATGAAGCCCACTTCACAAGGCCAGCCAAGGCTTACAGCGAAGTCAAGTCTGTGAGACCTCCAACAGCAGCTGGAATAGACCCGGTGAGCTGATTATTCGACAGGTCTCTGGACAAAGACAGTGAAGAGCGGACATAACATTTTCACAGTGAGTAAACTTGATAATGCGCGAGTTGTGCACTTTTAGAAAGACAAAACCGGCCAGGGACAAACCGCACCTAAAATTTGACAGAATGCTCCCTAAACCCCGCACCTGAAATCTAACGGAATGCTCCCTAAACCCTTGTGCTTTGTCATGAGAGAATGTGCTGGGCGCAAGCTGACCGAGCTTCCGAATTGAGAACAAACCTATTCATGCGTATCGTATCGTGAGCAGACCAGAATTGTGGATGATTTTATGTGAGTCGCTTACAGACTGCTTACAGATGCTCCAATCTAGCAAGCCTTCCAATGTCACTTGGAATAGTCATGTTGAGCTGATTCTCAGACAATTCCCTGAAAGCAAGAATTGGGAAAAAGCACTGGTCTTAGCCTTTTGACATGAGAGTTACACATCCACATGAAACAAACAGGAAGCACAACAAGTTCATAGGACAAGTGCAGCTGGTATAGAGTAGTACTAAAGGTCTAAGAAATGTATGTGAAGTGGGAAGAAATCCAGAGGTGCAAGCATACATTGCTAAGCATATGGCTGTTACGTTGTGTGCCATTCAGCTGCTTCCCACAGCTCTTGGCACAGGACGGAAGGAGTTGTGCACCATGGCTTGGGAACTTAGTCAGGTATACAATACCATCTCATATGTACTACTTACATATACTTCAGAGAAGAGAGGTTTCCAATCTCATTTGGAATAGACCCGGTGAACTTATTTGTTGTTAAATATCTGGACGCACGGGGTGGAAAGTGGGTGAGTGAGAATACTAGTGTGTTAGACTCTAGACATGAGAGTGGAATGCGTCCACGTGAAACAGCCAATGTAACAACATTAAAGCCTTGAAAAATATACAAAGCGCCCGAATCAGACAAAAGTGAAAGGGCACACAACCTGGCTGCCACAACCAACGTGCACATTTAACGGGTCACAGCCCACCCCATCCCAGCATGCTTTGGAACAGGGATGTGGAGAGAACTAGCAGAACAACCGGCAAGAACGATAGCAGTGGCACATGATGATATGATGACCTGATGCCCTCATGCTATGCTGAAATGACAACTTCGTGCAGTCAAGGAGGCTGTGCTTCCGAAAAAAATACAACAGCAAACATTTTGTCTCCCTAAAACGCCACTCAGCGATTACTGATGTGATGCCGAACATGTGTCAGCAGCATCAGCATATGTCACACTCCTTACAAATACTCCAATGCAACAAGGTTTCCAACTCCACTTGGAAGAGACCCCGTGAGCTGATTAGCAGACAGATCTCTGACACAACGAGTATGGAATTTGGATGCAAATACTGCTTGGTTAGATTCTTGACAGCCGATAAAGAACTTCAACTGGCAGAATGGTACAACAAGGTTTGGGAGAACACTCAGTGGCCAGCAAGAAGAGCACGTCTCTGCACAATATGTGCCATTCAGAATTTCATACGTCGTGTCATTACAGCAAGCTCTACAACATGCTGAGAGAGAATTTAAACACAACAGATTGGAATCAACTGGGATGTGTCAGAACCGAGCAGATGCAACAGGCATGGTGTTGCTTCTTGTTGAATGATCATGATCTCTATCATACCAAGTGGAGAACCTCTATCAGATTATGATTATCAAGTGTTGAGCGGAATCAGGCAAGCGCACAAGCTGGAGAAGGAGTCTCGACTCGTCAGACGCTCGAGCTGCGGGGCCAGAGCAGCCTCCCCCGCCCCGTGTGCTCTCATGAGCACACGGGACTCGTCAGACGCGTGGGAGGCTGCTCCGCCCCGTGTGCTCTCATGAGTCACGACAGTCGACGAGCACACGCCCCGTGTGCATTGTTGGCTCGGACCCCCGCTGTTTTGGCCCCAAAATGGCCAGAAAGCGAAACTAAAACTTCAAGGCACAGGTAATTCTTAAGGGGTCGTACAGAGCAGTTAGCGAGTTGAGGACGGTGATGCTGTTGGGGAAGGAGCCAGTGAGGAGGTTGCCGGAAAGGTCCCTGTGCGGTGTGGTGTGGTGTGGTGTGGTGTGGCGTGGCGTGGTGTGGTGTGGTGTGGTGTGGTGTGGCGTGGTGTGGTGTGTTGGAAATGAGATGAGAATAGTGGAGTGGAGAAATATGGCAGGGGAAACAGCAAGAATGAACAGACAAGAAACCAACAAGGGTGAGAAACCAAGCATGGTGGATATCGTTTGGTGCACGTCGAGATAACGAGGAGGGTGGAGGCCAGGACCGGGAGGATGGTGGGCTCGACAAGCACTCTTTCTATTCAAATGACAAGTGGCGCCTCAACATCAGCCTGCTACTTCACAAGGCTTACAGAGTCTCCAAGAATCCGATGTTGGCAAAAGCAGCTGGTATAGTCCCAGTAAGCTGATTTTCTCCAAAAGCTCTGGTCAGGGTGGATGGCAGGCACGGATACATCATACTCGTCTGTTGAACCTATGAAGGGCAGGGTGTGCATTTGTGGGCACATATTATCAGTATATCCCATTTCATGGAGGTTTATGTTTGTTGAGTGCAACACCAACATCCCAGCTTTACCCAAACGTTATTACCCTATAACAAAACTTTCAACCCAGCCCATTAATTGAAGATTTTAAATGTTCACTGGGAAAAAGTGCGATTCCTTACCCGTTTCTTCCAACCCTTTTTTTATGTAATCAAAGAGGATTCCACTCCCATAAGAACACAAAAATGTTGTGGAAGTGTGATATATCATACGACTAGGTGATCCTTATCCTTCTTGCATCCCAACCAAAAGAAATCCAGTCTACTCAAGCCAAACATGTGCGTGCTGCATCAGCCTGTTTGACACTGCTTACATGTATTGCAATGTAGCAATGTCTCCAATTTCACTTGGAATAGACCCGGTGAGTCGATTAGCCGAAAAATCTCTGAAAGCATGAAATCGGAAGGTGGGCGAAAATACTTGTAGCAAGAAACAGCAATTTGGCCTGAACAGAAAATTTGCAAACAAACATGAAGAGCACAAAACACAGATCGATGATGGGCAAGCAAGCATAATAGCTAGCTATGGACCACAATCACATGAGCTTCTTAGCAACAAATTAGTGCAGCAAATGGGTGATGCTCTTGATGCACCTGCAGCACCCCTTTCGTTCAAACAAGCCATATTACTCAGGGCAGACTCATCCTATCTCACTCACAATGTTCCTAGACCCGTCATCGAAGAAAGAAGTTTAATTCCAGTTGCAAGGGACCCGCTGAGCTGATTGGCAGAACAGTCTCTGGTCACAAGGAAAGGGAAATGGGCAACACTATTACTGTTCGATTCTTGAAAGTTGCACATCCACTTGAAAAAGGATAACACAACAGAATTGAAGTGCTACAGCTGGCAACCTAGCAGAACAGGGAAACATATGATGTGGCACCTCATAGAAGGGTACAACAAGCATGCAGTGCAGTGAGAACATGAGGTGAAAGACGACTCATTCTCCCACATTCGTAAACTCACATTCTCTCCTAGACGATCCCAACCCACCTTCCACGACATGCCAACATTCTAATGGTTGCTTACAAGATATGGCAACTTTATGCCACTCTTTACAAGGTTTGCTAATTGTGTGCCCTGATTCATTGACTCTGCCAATGCTTCTTTTCATGCCCGGACCTTAGATTGTGAGCAAAGTGACACTAAATGTGATTGCATGTTGAACAGGATTCGTGACTTCTAGTAGGTAGGAACTTCTTGCTGTGCATGTACTACTCCTAATTTTGCTTATAGTATGTCCTGGAGTGGAGAGCATTACTGACACAACAATAGCAACGATAGCTATGGCAGGCAAGCACGAACGCAATGGCACATGATCGCATGAGCTTCTGTCAGACAGCTTAGTCCAGTCAGCGAGGTGATGCCCTCGAAACAAACAGCTGCAGCACCCTCCTCTTCCTAAAAGCCTCTTGGCCAACACTCAAGCCAACCAAACATGTGGGTGGAGCATCAGCCTATCTCGCTCACATTGCTTACAGATACTGCAATGAAGATAATCTCTTGAGGCCAGTTGGAAAAGACCCAGTTAGGTTGTTACTGGCTAGATTTCTGGTCACAGGAAATGGATGAGAAGGGGGCCAGGCCAAGGGCAAAAACACTCCTCTGTTAGATTCTCAGAGTGCACGTTGGTACATATGTCCACCCCACATTGAGCACCCAGCCGAAACCATACAAAAGAACTACAGACAGGTGCAAGCAGATTCGTACAACAGGTAGTGGAGCGGGGAGAAAAGCGAGGAGCGGGGAAAGGGGGGCGGCTTGGCAGGGTGAGGGGGTGTCGGGTGTGCCGCCATGCCCCTCCGCAGCTGTTGTTTGCGGATCCACACTCTCATGTTGAGACGCCTGCTGCTGCTGCACCTGCTGCTGCCACTGGCGCACCTGCTACAGTCATTCCTGCAACAGCAGGTGCAGCAGCAGCAGGCGCCTCAGCATGAGAGTGTGGAGGCGCAACAGCAGCTGTGGAGAGGCATGGCGGAACACTTGACGCCTCCTCGACCTGCCAAGCTGCCCCACTGCCCCGCTCCTCACTTTACTTGCCACTCAGAACAGGTATGAGAGGATAATGTAGTGGCAGCAGCTTATAGAAAGGTGCAAGCACAGCATGACAACTGGCCGAACCCTGGCCAACCGCCGGCCTACTAGTGGCCAGGCCGAGGTCAGTTTGTTGCGGGGTGGTTGGGACCAGATTTTGCAGGGCAGACAGCGTCAAGATTACAATGGCACGAGAGTGAAGGGAAGACGAATTTGACTAGCAAACCTCGCATGTACTGACAAACTAGGACTTTGGGTGGAAACCAAGCAAGACTCACCGTGTAAACAAACCCCTGGATAGTTTTTCTATACATAATCAAATAGCAAAGAAATCTTAAGATGAACGTCAGCTAACCTACTTCAGCAAAGAATTTTCCATTCTGTCCACTAAATATCACCGATGGGTATTCTGCCGTCAAATATGTGGGGATCTGGCATCAATCAACCACACCTAAAATCAACTGCACCAGTCTACGACAGGCAGGATCGTGGTCCATGACACCTGACCGGGCCCGGGCCAGAACATCACGGTCTGGCCGCAACAAAGTAGAAAAAGGAAAAGGGTACAGAGCTGTACGAAATCCAGATTGGTTTGTTACGGGCCGAACAGGCATGAACATATGCTAGTGTCAAGGCAAGAAAGCAGAGCACTAGAGGGGAGAAAAGCACTAGAGGGATGCTATGGGCATTCGCTAGGGAAGGAAGCCTTGGCATAAAGACCTAGCAAGCTCCGTACAGAACGGTGAGCTGAGTGAGCAATGCAATGCTTTCGGGGATGGAGCCGGTGAACGAGTTGTAAGACAGATCTCTGTGGCATGGTGGTTGAAACACACACATACACGCACACACGCGCACGTGCCCACACACACACACACACCCGCACACACACACACACACACATAGCAGGAGACAGCAGGCAGGCAGGCACACAGATGACACAAGCCCAGGGGGTGATGAGACGAGCATGGTGGGAAGCATTGCTTGGCACACAGAGGAGTACGAGGTGCGACGGGATTGGAGAGATGAAAGCAGCTCGGGGCTGGAGTTAAGTAGGTCTGAAGGAGGGAACGAGGGAGAAGGGGAAAGAGGGCCGAGAAGGGTTGCAGGACAGGGGTGGGCAACAGAGAGGCGGAAAAGGAAGGACCACGCTGGTGGGTGCACACACGGAAGGCGAATAGGCGGCAGGAGATGGAAAAGGTGCCTTGTGGCTATAACAAAGCAAACCGAGAGCATTGCATTTAAAGTAATGCATGTGATTGATATTCCTACACGGGGACTGTCTCTCTTTACTCAAACAACACGTGGCTCCTCAACAGCACCCTACTTCACATGAAGCTTACAAATTGCTCATGTAAGAGAAGTTTCCAATATAAGCTGGAATAGATCCAGTAAGCAAATTATCTCCAAGACTTCTGGTGAACGTGAAACAGAGTGGGAAGTGGGGCATCAGAGTCAGCCATCAGTTCTCTAAAATGTAATGTGTGAAGGTATTGTACTTTCTTTCTAGTCCAGCCAAGAGCATGATAAAAGTGTGGCAGACGTTGTTCGAAAATAGAGAAGTTGAAAGCCACTAACCTAAGAGAAAGATTCTAAGAACAATCTAGAAAAGGAAGAATCTAGAGCACACGGCTGCCACAGCAGTGATGAATTGGAGCATGGGGCTACCAGCAACGGGTTTATATGCTATGCGACATGGGGAATTGGGGTGCAATGACACCTTGCCAACCGATATTCGTACAGATAGCCTAGTAGCTGAAGCGAGGCGAGGCTGTTGGGAATGGAGCCAGTCAATAAGTTGTTGTTTAACGACCTGCATGGGTGGGTGTGGAAAAGGGGGGGAAATAACTAGAGACACTGTTAGAGTCAAACATTTCGCAGAATTTTTACATCTGTTCGGTTCGAGTCGAAAAGGCGCTCGTTTTTTGCTCATCCCTACCCACTGACCACCCAAGGGGCTGATGTTAAGAGACGGAAATGTGGGAAGGGGAGCATTGCCTGGCACAGCAGAAAACGAGTAGCAAAACACTCAAGGTAGATTGAAGGCAGGAAGAGGCATACGGATGGGGGTGCGCACGAAAAAAAAAGGCGGGAGCAATGAGATGGAATACCTGTTTTGTGGCTCATCAGGTGTAGAGCAATGCGAACAGTAGTATACAACATCATGCATTCCAGCAAGTTGTGAGTCTTAGACAAGGGCCTAATCTGACCTGAACGGCTTACAAAAAATACAGGTTACTGAGGAAATCTGGAATAAGCCCCGTAAGATGATTACTTGACAGATCCCTGGTCAAGGAGGGTGAAGCGAATAATCTACAGTTAAATCCCTAAGAATCTCTTATCCATTTGTGTTTATTAATCAATGCAGTAATGCTTAGAATCATTGGAAAACAATAGATGCACAACGAGAACGAGGAACCGTGAAAACTGTGGCATGTGGTCACATTGTTTTTGTACAGCGAGCTTGCTGCAAGGGCGGTGCCCCTCCTGGTTTGAAAAAACGACCGTATAAACGACTGTTTTCTAAAGCCAAACAAAAAGACCACCTGGAACCGTATAAAACAACAGCCTTTTATGATACCATTGTTGGAAACACCCCTCTCCTGCTGCCACCCCTGCTTTGCCCCTTCTCCTTATACTCACCCTGCCTTATCTCTCTCACATGTCCTGTCTCTGTGTGTACTCCCTCTCTTCTGCCTCAGCCAGACACTACCACAAGAGATTCAGCCTCCCACACGATGGCTGCTCGCAGTGGCCTAGTCATCCACCTAGCTGTCGTAGCGTTAATTAGTACCCTAAATCACCCTTGGTGATTTAGGCAAACAGACGAGAGAACAAGATTCAGGTGGATGTACTAGGCTACGTATTCTCCTTGCACGAGTCGCGAATTCCTCAGCGAAAAGGTTGGGCTCGAAAAGCCTGAGCCCTGGATTAGCCAATTCCCAATCCAGCAAATCGGGAATCGGCCAATCCAGGGCTCGAATAGCCTGAGCCCTGGATTGGCAAATTACCATTTTCCTGTCTCCCGTGGCTCCTTGCGCCCTTCCCAATGTACCCCGCAGGACTTAGTAACACCAACCTAGTGTCACTCCCTGAGAACCAACTACCTCTTGGTGAAACTGAATAACAAAAGCTACACCCGCCTACACCACAATAAGCATGTAACTGAAATATACTGTTCCCATCTTTATATTATGTGAAACCGTTTTGTGGAAACTTTTCAAGAATGCCAGTGTTTGTTTTGCACCCTGATACTCACAGACTACTCAGTGAAGTCATTTTTCCAAGCCCAAGAGGAATAGATCCGCTAAGGTTATTGTCTTGTAGCTCTCTGGTCACAAGGCGTAAAATCGGCATGATTAACTGTTGTGTCAACCTCTTACAGATCTACGTGAAACAGCCAGTGCAACAAGATCAAATCACTGCAGCGAAATAGTGAAGAACCCATCGGAAGCAGAAATCTCAGAAAGACGCAAGCAAGCAAGCACAGTTAGACATGGGCAACAGGTCTAGGTCGAGCCATCAGTGGTACGGCGGTGGTCGGTTCAGCTCAGACTGGGTCGACCCAGGCCCGACTTGACCAGTCAAGTCACATGTACGGATAGATTGTCAGGCTGGTCGATCTGCAACAATCCTCTCAGATTATCAGTCACAATGGCGGGTCAATCGACCCACCCTCGGGCCACGGCCGACTTGACCGGACCCCTATAAGCTGCTTGAGTCGGGTCAGGCCGGCTGCTCCAAATCGGCTTGACCTGACCCGGCCCGGGCCCCGCTCGGCGCTCGGATCGAGCAAAACCATGACCTGGGACTTTGCTCGTGTCTAAGCAAGCTCATTACATACAAGGGTGCCACGAGACACGGTGAACCATTCAGCCGGTCGCAGCTGCAAGATACGAGTTGTAGGGAACGCTGTGCAGCTGCTTCAGCGCATGACTGAGCGAGCTTCTTACAGAGAGTTGAGCTGAGCGAGGGAGGAGAGGCTGTCGGGAATGGAGCCGGGGAAAGAGTTTCTGGCGAGAGATCTGCAACATGGGGTGAGCTTCGAGAAAGCGGGTTAGAACCGTGGGCATGTTAGAAGAGGAACCATGCGCATGCAGGGGCATGAGGCCCCAGGGGAGGAGGGGTGATTGGTGAAAGGAAGCAATGTTTCGTACAAGGAGGAGAACGAGCTGTGGCAGACTTAGTGCAGATGGAAGCAGCTCGAGGCAATGCGGGGAGGGGGGTAAGGTGGGGCTAGGTGGGGTTGAGTGGGGAACGAAGGAGAAAAGGGACCGGGAGGGTCGCTCGCAAGACGCTAGGGTGGACCACGTGAAGAAGGGGCTAAGTGGGTGCGGCTGGGTAAAAGGCAAGGGGGGAACAAGGAATGAAATGTAAGGACAGGGATTCGAGTTGAATCTCGGCTCGGCCCAGCCCGACTTGAGACTTTGGTTTGAGCAGTTCAATTCTAACATGTTGCCCAAAAATGTTGGACCCAAACAGTGAATTGGTCGAGCCAAACATGTTCGGTTCATTTCTGTTCTTCTCCTACTTCTTCTTCTTCTTCCTTCTTCTTTCTTCATCGAACAGAATGTGTTCGCGACCAACGCCCGCGCGGCTCGGTTTGCGCGAGACCCCGGTTGTTTGAGAAATCTTAAGCTCGTGTTTCAGCTCAAACTCTTCCCTAGTCTATTCCGTTCTGCCCACCAACTTGGCTTGCGATGGTTCCGCAAGGTGAGATTCCTATTGCTTATGGCAAACGCCAGCCAGTGTAAGCCGCCCTACCTCCTAGCATCTCAGTGAAAGTGAAAGAGGCCAGGCTAGCATCTCAAGGTAGGCGGCGATCCCCGCAGCTCCTGCCTGTTTGCGCCTATTCGCGTAAACGTCGTGTTTCCCTTAGTCATCCATGCCCTCTTCAACCCATCCTCCCCTTCTTTACCCCACCCACCCTCTAACCCCAGAAAACAGGTCAAAAGGCACACTGAAATTTTGTGTGAATAACTCACAGTGAAGAGAGGAGAGAGAGATTCTGAATAAAGGCTGGAACAGACCCTGTAAGCTGGTTGGTTGAAAGATCTCTGATCAGAGAGGGTGCAGATTGGCCATGAGATGGTCTCAGCTGATACTCTGAAGAGCACGAGTGCTTTTAGCAAAGGATGAATTGAGTGTTGAAAAATAAGTAATAATGATTGTTTGGTAAACGTAAGACCAAGCCAAGCGTGTAAAGAAAAAACACACATGCAGATTGCAAAAGGTGGATGCGTGCGTGTATGTAAACACGCTGCTGCATGCAGAGTGCAGTGCATGGCATGGAGTGAGAAGTGGTAGAGTAGAGGGGGCGCCACTCAGCTGGTCACAGACTCACTGCTTATCCCAGCATTCTATATAGTTGAACAGGCAAAAAGGATGTGCGGAACCATAAGAATCGCGGCATGTATACAGCGAGCTTACTGCATCCCGCCTCTGCGGTAGCAGAATTAGGCTATCTCATTCACACTACTTACATGTCTTGCAATGAAATCATGTTTCTCAACCCAGCGGGGAAGGACCCGTTAAGATTATTATCAAACAAAGTTCTGCTCACAAGGGGAGAAAGTGGGGAAAATCTTTGGTATCCACTTGACACGCGAGTTGAGCAACTGTAGCAGCATGCTGAAAGCTGTCAGCAAGCCTGCCTGCTACAAGGTGCCATTCAGTTCTTACAGCTCATTATTAGCGTGCTTTGAAACGCTACACATATAACTTTCATGGAATGGAAATGAACCCAGGAGCAACCTCTTCCCATCTGCAACCATAATGCAGCCTCGGGCTTGGCACATGTTATTGCAGAAACCAGAGAGCTTCATACAGAACGGAGAGGCGAGTGAGCAAGGAGATGCTGTCGGGAATGGATCCCACCAAGGAGCTACCCCGGAGATCACTGTGGGATGTGTGTGTGTGGGGGGGGGAGAGAGGCATCATGTCATGCACAGAGGAGAGTGAGGTGCAAATGACTCTGTTGGGAGTGAATGGAAGCTGCTGTAGCTCGTAGCTGAATGATGGGGAAAGGTGGCACAACGTGAGGATAAAGGAAGGGAGGAGCTAAACCCAAAACCCTAGACCCTGCGACAGGTATGGTGGTGGAAGCCTAGTGACCACACACATTTCCAGGCCAGTGTTGAGCGCTCAACGTCCAATAGTAAGTGCACGAACACGTCGCGTTTGAACGCAACGCCACAAGGCACTTGATACGTTTGCGGAGCTCAAAAGAAAGTAAGAACTCACCCAACTCAACAGTCCCAATGTGGTCGACACGGATTACCAACCTGAGGTGGGCCACCTCATCCAGCAGCCCGACATACAATGTGAAAGGGGACAATCACTAAGTTGATTTCTAGAGGCGCCTCAAAAATCAAGACAATGTGAGAGAGGCCCATCATTAACAACTTCGTGATAGCAGCATGATGTGCGGCAGACGCAGCACATGCATTTACCCTTCATGTGTTGTCCTTCCAAGTTGTCTCGGATGATATGCGCTCGAATCGATGGAGCGTATGCATTTACCCTTTTAGGTGGCATGCATGCATGCATGCACCCTTGGGCCCACCTACCCAGATGTGTGTGCACCATGGCCCTTGGCATCCTCACAAGGATACTCATCGGCCGTGTCGGAGATACAGCTACTCCCTCATCTGCCTTAGTCTTCTTGCTCAACTTCTCTTCACTGCTTCTGTTGCCTCAGCCACCCTCATTGAAAGAAATGAAACTCTCACCTCAAGGGTCCTCCCTGAGTGGGTGTCACCGTAGGCAAAGCTTAAGGCAACAAGAATCCACTATACGAAAGGATAACAAACGGAAAGCATTGTGTGTGTGTGTGAGAGTGAACTTACCTGACCCTGGCTCGAACCGTGCATTTCTCAATGTGCGGCTCGAGCCTGGGTTGGTTCGTTCCCATTGGTTGCATGGATTTCACCCCTTGGTGCTCTCCTACCAACTTCGCGTCAATTTCCCAGCCCCCACCTACCCATCCTCGAATCTGCAAACACAACATAACTACACCCTTGCTACACCCCCTTATTACTGGCACCTTATATGCACAACCGTGCATATTCGGTGACAGCTGTCGGAGATACAGCTACTCCCTCATCTGCCTTAGTCTTCTTGCTCAACTTCTCTTCACTGCTTCTGTTGCCTCAGCCACCCTCTGCCCCCTCCTGTGCCCGTGCTCGCGCAGCTTGAGCGCGGGTCACAGGACCGTTGCGCTGAGGCCCGCTTCCTCGGATCACTGCCGTGTTCGTTTGATGCTCCTTCAACTGCGCTCCCGTGTCATTCTCCAGGACCAGCACCCCCGAAGGGCGCACCTCCTTGACCTTCCAGCGGACCGTCCCCAGTCCTACATCCAAGGTGTCCTGCTTTGCTCTCTTGAGATACACCTCCTGCCCTTCGCTGACGCCCCTTGTCACTCGCCCATCTCCCTTGCGCTGCCTCTGTTCATACCTCCTGGCATCCCTCAGCTGCGCGGTGTGCAGGTTCTCCAGTGCAGCTGGCATCATGTAGCGCATGTAGCGCGCTCTCACCTCGGACAGAGCTACCCAGTTCTTGATCGTGCCCGCCGTCACTGTATCAGTCAATACCCGCGGTGCCCCCACTGGCAGTATGGGCTCTCGTCCGTAAAGTAGGCTGTACGGGGAGTGGTCCTTCAGGGCTGCCTGTTTCCCGAACCTGTACCCTGCTGCTATCCAGTCCAACTCCTCATCCCAGTCTCTCTTCCTCTGCTCCCCATAGGCCCGCAGTCCCCGCTTAAAGGTCTGCACGGCCCGCTCAGTCAGCCCGTCGCTCTGCGGGTGGTAGCGGGAGGTCTTACGGTGCGCGATGCCAGGCTCCGCCAGCAGCTTCTTGAACTCTCCTTGGAACTCTGTTCCTTGATCAGTGAGTACTTCCCCGCACGCTCCAAATCGGCACACCACCTGCGCCTTGAAGGCTGCTGCAATATGCCTCGCGCTCTTGCTCAATATGGCTCTCACCTCCAGCCACTTACTCACATGTTCCACCATGAACACTATATACTGATTCCCGCTCCTGCTCAGCGGCAACTCCCCCGCGAGGTCTAGTGACCAGCGAAACCCCAGCCCACAGATGGGCAGTGAGTGCAGCTCTGCTTTGGCTTGCGTCAGATTGGCTTTGCTCCTCAGACACGCCTCGCACCCTTCCACCCACTCTTTCACCTGCCTGCGCATCCCTTCCCACCACCAGCCCGTCTTGAGCAGCTGCACTGTCCTTTCGTGCCCGAAATGTCCCAGCTTGTTGTGGACTTCCTTGATCACAGCGTCACGCTCTTCAGGTGCTGGCACCAGCTTCCAGCCGTCCTCCGTCTTGATCTGTAGCTGCTGCTGATACCACCTGTAGTGGTGTCCCCGTGCCCTCACCCTTTCGGGCACCGTTTCATCTTCCTCCGTCTCTCCCTTCAGCCACTCCATTGCCTTTGCATCCAGCCATATGTCGGCTGGCCCCTTGCTCCCTTTTGCACCCGCCCGCTCTACCTCCCTCGCCAGCAGGATTAAGGTCTGTGCTGGCTCCTGCTCCGTCTCTCCCATCTGCTTGGCGGCCTGCTCTGCTTCTGGTGGTGGCGGGTTGCGGGACAGGCCATCAACGTGCTGCAGTGTCTTCCCCGGCCTGTGCCTGATCTTGAAATCATATTCCTGCAGCTTTACTGCCCACCGCGCATTCCTCCCCGTCAGGCCCGGCGTCGTCATTAGCCACGTGAGTGGCTCATGGTCTGTAACTAGCGTGAACTCTCTGCCCTGCAGGTACACCCGGAAGTGTCCTACTGCCCATACTGCCGCCAGCCCCTCCCCAATGTATGAGCTGTACTGCGCCTCTGCTGGGTTACAGCTCCTACTGGCGTAGGCTACCACTTTCTCCACTCCCTCTACTTCTTGGCACAGGATCGCCCCCATCCCCTGGCTGCTCCAGTCGGTGTAGAGGATGAAGGGCTGGTCTGCTGCTGGCAGCCGCAGCACTGTTGCCGTCTTCACTGCTGACATGAGATCGTGCAGCGCCTCCCTCTGCTTCTCTCCCCACTCCCACGCCATGTCCTCTCGCAGCATCCCGTTCAGCACCGTCGCTCTCTTGCTGAAGTTCGGCACGAAGCGCCTGTAATAGCTGAGGAAGCCCAGGACTGCACGCAGTCCTGACTTATCTCTTGGCTCCCTTAACTTGTCTAGCACCTGGACCTTTGCCTGCTGGATCCCAATCTGTCCCCCTGTGACCTCGTACCCCAGGTACTGCACCGTCTGCTCCCCCCATCTGCACTTGTTAGGGTGGCACGTGAGCCCTGCCTCTTCTATAGCCGTCAATGTCCTCTCCACGTCCTCCAAGTGCTGCTGCTCGGTCAAGCTGAAGATCACCACGTCGTCGATGTAGCATGCTGCATGCTCTATCCCCCTCAGCACCGCGTCCATGACGCGCTGGAACACCGCTGAGGCGTTCCTCAGACCAAAGGGCATGTACAGCCATTCGTACAACCCATCCGGTCCGTGAAAAGCCGTTTTCTTCACATCTTCCTCTCTGATCTTGATTTGATTGAATCCCTGTCGCAGGTCTAGTGTTGTGAAATACACCCCGTCGGCCATCTTGTCAAAAAGTTCTTCCGCAATCGGCATTGGGTATCTGTCTGGCACCGTGATCTTGTTAAGATCTCTGCAATCCCCGCACATCCTCCGGCTCAGCACCTCTCCTGTCAAATCCTTCCTGGCTGCTACCACGGTCGGGGTTGCGTACTCGGACTCGGACCTCCTGATCAGCCCTGCCTCCAATAACTCCTTGATCTTCTCCCTGCAGATCGCCTCATCCCCTGGTGGCATCTTCCTCCTACGGTGAAACACCGGCTCCTCACTGCTCAGCTTCAGTGCCATTTCCTTGATCTTACACTTCCCCAACTCCTGCAGGGTGAAAGCGAAACCCTTCCTATGCTTGACTAACAGTGCCCTCATTGCCGCCTTCCCTCCCTCGCTCATGCTCTCGCCTATCTTCCATTCGTGCTCTTCTTTCGGCAGGCACGTCCACACCCCCTGTCTGACTGTCGCTACCGTGCTTTCTCCTTCCTTCAGTCCCCACTGCAGCACGGTCTCTCTCCACATCCGCTGCACCAGCCACTTCATCATGTACCCATCCATGGCATTCCCCGTCGCTCGCCGCCTCTCTTTCTCGCTCACGCCTGGAGCTGCTGTGGCATTCTCCTTGTACCCCATGGCTAGCTCCCTCTCCAGGGCCGTGGGCTCTTCCCACCGTCCCTTCCTGTGGTCCCGTACCAGTCCTGGGCCTGGCTGTTCCCCATCCATCCTATATCCCGCTGCCCCCTCATATGACACCAGGGTAGGTAGCGCTTGCCTCTCCTGCCCCACCTGGTTGCACGGATAATGTCTGCTGTAGCTTTTCTTCCTCACTGGTGCTGGCGTTCTTCCTGGCTCCAGTATATCGCTCACCTTTCGTCCTCCCGCTCTCTGTACCCCTTCAATCTCTTTCTGCAGGTCCTCCGCTGGCACCACGTTCTGCCAGTACATCCTGAGCCGATGTGCGTATGCTCCCATCCGTGCTGCGTCACTGCTTACCCCTTTACCCACCTGCTGGGTCACTCTTTCCTTCACCAGCCTCACTGGTTCTCGCACATCCCCACTCATGTCCAGATGCTCTAGCAGGTATGCCAACCTGCCCTGCTTCGCCTGCAGCCACTCCATGATTCTGAACAGGTCCTCCATCAGCTGCGTCCTCGGGTCTTGCTCCCCTTCCCCTTTCCTGCCCATGATACCCCTTGGCATTCCCACCCAGCCACCAGCAGGTCCACGTGCCCCCAGCTTGCTACTTCAGCTTCTGTGATTGTCCTCACGTCATTTACTCCTCGGCTCATGGCTGCCTTGACCACTTCTTCCTTTAGCAGCTCTGGAAACTCCTTGTGTAGCTCTCACGCGTGGTGTTCCGCCATTTTCCTCACTTCTGGTGCCTTTTCCACGTAGATCCACTGCTTCACAGCGATGCCGTTCCGCACCACTGCTGCCAGTCCCGCCCCTATTCCCCCGAACAGCTCCACCAGCCGAATGGGTTGCTGCCAGTCTGTTTGTTGGCTCGGTTCATCCATGAAGTGCATCCTTGGCCCTCCATTTCCTTTTCCATCTGCTGCCTTCTCTGGTGCCCCCTGTTCCACTGCTCCCTCCTTTGGACCAGCCTTATAAGCCCTCTTTGGCTCTGTCCTGACGAACTGCACCGGTAGCTGTCCTAGCGGATCGCCCTCCTTCCACCACCTGGTCCGAAACTCCACTGTCTCCTTCCAGAAGCAGATGGTCATGCCCAGTGCGAAGATCATTTCTGTGCCTACTAAGACGTCAAAGTCCTCTGACTCTGAGATCCCACACTTGATCCTGACCGGCGTCTCATGCTTCTCCCCTTTCAGCACCGTCAGCTCTATCGGCGTCCTGGTACATGGCATCCACTTGGATTCGCCCCCTTCCGCGGTCATCACCAGCATTCCTTTCACCACGTGTCGGTCTGGAGCCCACAGTCCCAGCTTCTCTGCCATCCCTTTCCCGAGTATTACACTCTGCGCCCCCGTATCTATGATCGCCGTCTTCGCCTTCTCTCCTTCCACAGTCAATGCGCCGCCTTGGATCAGCAGCACTGAAGTCTGGCCAACCTCTCTTGGGGGTGCCGCGCAGCGGTGTACCTTTCTTCCTTCTCCTTAGGTTTCTGCCCCTTCTCCCTCTCCTTTCTCACATGTTCCTTCTGTGCGTCCTTTCCACCGCAGCGTAGCCCCATCTCTTCCCTTCCCCTCCATACCATTTAAGCTGGCTGCTCCTCATGCTCTGTTTCCTCCTCTTCTCCTCCTTGCCACACCATGAATGCGGCCTCTTCATCCTGCTCCACGTCCTCCTCTTCCTCTTCCTTGGCGTACATCCCCGCTTCTGCTTCCCGCCGTGGTCCCATTGCCTGCAGCTGGGCTAGCAACCTGCCAATCTGCTTCTCCAGTTCCTCTGGCGTCTTCTTCGCTGCTCCCTCTCGCTGATAACATTCCTTCGCTGCATGTCCTCCCTTCCCACATATTTCACACTTCGCGGCCGTAGGACATTCCCGCCGTCGGTGCCCTGGCTTGCCACAAGAGTCACAATTCTTGCAGTCCCTGCGCAAGTGTCCTGGCTGCCCGCATCGGTGGCACGTCCGCGTGTCAGTCCTGGTCTCCCCTCTTCCCGCTGCCCTGTCCCTCTCCTCTGGAATCATGGCAGCAGCCCATGTAGGTCCCCTGCCTCGCTCCGCCGGTCTGGGCCTATAAGCTTCATACCTCCTCTGCGCCAGCTCCATTTTCTCTGCCAGTTCAAACACCTCCTCCAGCGCTGTGTCAGCTCCCATTTCATACACTTTCATCCGCAGTCCGCTTCCCAAAGTGCCCTCCAACCCATCCAGGAACTTACTCACAAGCAGGGCCGTGTCTGCGCAGGCCACATCCTCTGCCAAGTTGACCAAGCGGTTATAGTAGGTGAGCAGTGACTCACTCCGCCCCTTCCTGAAATCTTGAAACTCTCTGATTTTCTCTGCCGTGTGCCCTGGAAACTGCCGCTTTAGCCGCCTCAGGAATGCCTCAATGGGGTCCTCCCCGTACCTTCCTGCCCTGTCCAGTAGGTCATCTATCTTCATCCTGTATAACGTCTCCGCCTCCCCTTCTAATGTGTTCGGCAGACTCAGGAAGAAGTCCACTGAGTCCATGCCGCTCCTTTCGCACCGGTACCGCACGTTGCCAACCTGCATCAGGTAATTCTTCAGTGTGGGGCCCGTACGCTGGTCTCCTGAGAAGCGTGTTGGCACTTCCACCCTCGTGACCATTGCCATGCTTCCCTTGCCTTCTCCCCACGCCTCGCTCGGCCCTTCTGCCGATCTCCCTGATGCTCCTCTCTCTCTCGCCCGCAATAATCCTTCCCTTGCCTCTCTGGCTCGCTCCAGGCTGTGCATCAGCCCACTGCCTCCTTCTCTGCTGCCGCGCTGATCCCGTCCTTCCTCACTGGCACGCCTTCCGTCATACCGCCCGTACCGATCAGGTGAGTGATGCCCATAGCCGCGCCCCCCTTCCCGGCTCTGTTGCCGTGGCCGCGAGCCATGTCCGCCTTCCCTGCTTTCTCCAGGTCGCCTGTGCCACTCGGGCGAGTGCGTCTCGCTTCCCCACCTCTCTCCATGATACCGTTGCCGACCAGGCGAGCGGTAGTCGCCTCCGCGTCCCTCGTCACGTGGATACCGGGGACCTGGAGAGCGCCGCTCCCTCCGCCTCTCCAGTCGTGATACCTCCGCGGATCTGGTGAGCGCCCACTTCCCCCACGCCCATTGTCTTGGTACTGCCGTGGCTCAGGCGAGCGGTAGCCGTCCCTGCACCTGTCTTCATGTAGCTGCTGCCGTACTGGCGAGCGATAGCCGCTTCCATGCCTCTCGCTCCCGTGCGGACGTCGTGGGTCTGGTGAGCGTGCGCCGCTACCGCCTTCCCCGCCATAGTTCTGCCGCCGATCCGGCGCGCGCGTGTCGCCACACGCCCCCCCTTCCCGGTACATCCGCGGATCTGGCGAGCGCGCACTGCCGCCGCGTCCTCCGACCCGATTCAGGCGCGGATCAGGCGAACGCGCGCCGCCGCCACGTCCCTCGTCACGCTGCTGACTCGAATCTGAAGCGCGCGCGCCACTGCCACGCCCCCCGCCGTCGCCTTTCTCTTCGTCGTGCGGCAGATCTCGACTACCGCCCTTTCCGTCCGCCTCCACCGTGCTCGGCTCCGCCGCCACGCCCGCCTGCGCGGGATCCTTGTCCTCGACTTCAGCGGGCTTTTCGCGCTGCTCGCCCGCGCCTTCCTCCGGGGATTCGTCATCGCCCTTGATCTCACCATCACGGTTCGTCTCCCGCACTCGATTCGCCGAGTCGGCCTCGTCGTCGCCATCCACGTCAAGATCGCCTTGGCGACCTGAGAAGAACTCCTCCAGGCCTCGCCCGCGACTTCTCTCTTCGCGACAGCGATAGCCTTCCTCCGGCGAGCGGTACGCTCCCGTGTCCTGGCGGTACCCATAACCGCCCTCAGCTCCGTGACGCCCGTCCGTCCGCCATGGGTCGCTTCCCATCGTGACAGATCCGGATCCGCCTCTTCCTTCTCGAGCGGATCTTCCCTCTTGCCGATCTGGCGCGAGAGGTACCTGATCCGCGCGAAAGGCCGGCCACCGCGGAGATCGCTCAGGTCGCCGCGGCGACCTCTCCAAGGAACGTCCTCGCTCACGTGAGCGTTCGCGCCGTGGGCGATCCTCCTCACGGCGTCCGTAATTCCTGCCGTAACGCAGCTCGTACACATCCATGCTTGTACGCGCACCCTTTCCGTTTGTTATGAAAGAAATGAAACTCTCACCTCAAGGGTCCTCCCTGAGTGGGTGTCACCGTAGGCAAAGCTTAAGGCAACAAGAATCCACTATACGAAAGGATAACAAACGGAAAGCATTGTGTGTGTGTGTGAGAGTGAACTTACCTGACCCTGGCTCGAACCGTGCATTTCTCAATGTGCGGCTCGAGCCTGGGTTGGTTCGTTCCCATTGGTTGCATGGATTTCACCCCTTGGTGCTCTCCTACCAACTTCGCGTCAATTTCCCAGCCCCCACCTACCCATCCTCGAATCTGCAAACACAACATAACTACACCCTTGCTACACCCCCTTATTACTGGCACCTTATATGCACAACCGTGCATATTCGGTGACAGCCGAACTGAGCCTCATTACGTGACAACATCAGGCGTGATAACTCGCCCAGGACACATTAGGGACAGGACAGGACGCATCGCCCTGCCTGCAGCACTATGTCGTTTCCAAACCCCAGCCGCACAAACCCCTTCCGCTGCTGCCCCTCTCTCCGCGTCGAGAGGCCTTTTCCTTTGAGCAAATCTCGGCTAATGTTACACCCAGACTGGCTTGGGTCAATCTTGGTCGGGCCGGCTAACTCGCTGGGCCAGACCAGTTCTGGCCTGGCCATTTTCATGCCTGACCGGCTTAGGACCGACCGAGATACAACAATCAGGTGAGCGATCATTACGGGCCAAGGGAACGATTGTGACTTGATAGAACTTGTTTGGGATACCTTCAAGAGCCACGAATCTGACTCACCCTTTTCACGTGATACCAAGCTATACAAAAACAATTGGAATAAACTTAGTTGAGAAGGTGCCAATTGCGCCGATGACATACAAAGGCGGACACTCACATGTCGGTAGTCCATAAAGGAAACCGTTCCAGGTTTGTCATCAAGTTTGGAATAAACGTAGTCTTGAAGGTGATTGCGATGCGGTGACATACAAAGGCCGCATACTCAGGCACACTCATTCACATGTCAGTGATCATGCCCAAATCGTCGCAGAAGACGCCTTCCAGTCCCTTTTGAGGCGCTTCAAAGGTCGCCTCATAAGTCCTTTGAGGCCCTCACAGGCAGCACACTCACTCACATGTCTGTAATCATGCCCGAATCGTCGCAGAAGACGCCTTCCAGTCCTTTTGAGGTCTCAAAGGTCGCCTCAAAAGACCTTCTGAGGGGCCTCAAATGCAGCACACTCACTCACATGTCTGTGATCATGCCCGAATCGTCGCAGGAGACGCCTTCCAGTCCTTGAGCGCGGTCGCACGTGGCTCCCACCGTCCACCCCTGAAACGTCCTTCCCCATGCCTTTTGTAAATCGTTAAGAACCGCGGCTGGCAGTTGGGAATGGGCAGACGAGAGAGTGGAAGGCAAGGACGACAGTGACGAAGCTGGAGAAAAAGTGGTGGTACCTTTAGTTATGAGCTTTTTGAGCCAACTCCGAGTTCAGCTGGCGGAACAGGTTTGAATTACTAGAGCCATTGAGACAGGGCCGCAATCTGGGGACAGCGCGGGGGCAACAGCTTTTTGCGGATGTCAAAACTCAAGAGCCACTCGAAAATTGGGTGGTAGCTACTAGTGGTAACCTAGAAACGTTGACCTAGTAAGGGTGCTTCCGAAATGGGACCTGACGCTGCTCGAGAAACAACAGTTGATTCGGTGTCACGCACGTGGTTGTAGCACTGCCGCTACCACTACGGCGCACAGGGGCGTAAATCTAACTTTCTGAATGGCAGCAGCGAGCGATATCAATAATGAACGCAGAGTTAGGTTTACTACAAGAAGGTATACTAGGAAGAAGTCTTCGTTCCAACCAGTGCCTGTGACCAGCGCCGCTGAGACTTGTGAAACCCTCGACCTGCGAGGAGGGAGGCAGGCACCTTGAGAAGCTTCGATGGGCCGTGCATGGGACGGTAACACGAACGCGGCGAGGCAAAGCGCGGCGGAGAGTGCAGGCCATGATGCTCCCTGCATCGCGCTTGACTTCGGCGGAGGCACTGCGACGTCCCGCCTCCTCTCCCGGCTTTCTCGGACCAATAATCCTGGGATATTAGTGCTCCTTCGAGACTTGGGAGTAACGTGGCGCTTGACTTCCAGTGCCATAGGTCCAACTGGCATGATGGCGTATAACATTGTACCGACCAGGCCTAAAATCCGCCCAGGCGGTCGGGTCTGGCGAATGCGATGGGTTGTTGCGTTAAAGCGAACCCCGCCACACTGTTCGAACACAATAACACTTTTGTTCGCCAGTTCGTGGAGCAACAATCCTAAATTAACCCCATACCAAAAGTGCACATCCAGCGATGCGGTTTTCGACGAAAATCCTGCAGGTTTACGAAATCGAACTTGCCCACGCGAAAGTGTGCGACAACATTTTCGCCCTGGCAAAGTGGTTGAGCAGGGGATAAACCGAGGCCCAACCAAGAGAAATGTGCACCCTCCTAGTGGCGAAAGCGTTGTTCATAACTTTCGAAATATTTGGTAACCACTCAAGAAGTGATCATGCGCAGGATCGATAGCGTCGATGTGACAGGATGTGACGCGTCCTGGTCGTTTTTTTTTAACTCCTGGAATTGGATCATACTCTGCATCCCCGTCGCCGATCCTTATCTCGCCTCGCCATACGGCATCAGACCAACAACTCCATCGTAGCTTCCACCAACGTATCTTCCGTCGCCAATCCTTATCTCGCCATACGCCGTTAAACTCACGACTGCATCCACCCAATTCGGGCGATTTCGACTCCCATCCCTCTGTCTCGCGTCACCCTCCCTCCCTCCCATCTCACACACACGCCCACCTCGTCCTCGCGGTACCCTAATTCCATTCGCCGCGCCCCTCGCAACGCAGCCCTCCCCGTCTCCTCTCCGTTGGCAAAGTCGTTGCCTCCGTAGGACCCTCGTCGCACGCACCGCCCCGAGCTCATCCTCCTCTCACCTCCCTCCTCTCTGCTTCCGAAAGTTTTCACTCGCCGCGACCCACGCCGCATTAGGCGCGCGCGAAGATGCCGCCGTACGAGGTGCTGGTGATGGCGAAGGCGGCGGTGCAACGGCGGGAGCTCGCGGATCTCGTGCGAGGGCTGGCGCAGCGAGTGATCAGGTGCGTGCGACGGGTGATCAGGTGCGTGCGACGCGCGATAAGTTGCGTGCGACGGGCGAGCACCTGCATGGCGAGCGCTTAGGTGCCTGCGACGAGTGATAAACTGTGCGACTGGGTTAGCGTGATGGTGGTAGAATCGGCACGAGGTGATTGGTTGAGCGTCCCAACGCATCACACACGTGGGGACGAGTGATCGCATGCTTGCCCTGCTATCTTCTTCTCAACTATATCACCGATTCTGAACCTTGCACTCTCGACCTTCTTGCGCGCTCTTCCCACCTCTTCCACTTCCCAACAGCCATCGTTCTCCTGCCCCTCCACCACTCTCCACTGTCCCTTCCCGTCCCCACTTCCTCCACCACCCTCTCCTCCCTGCTGCCTCTCTCCCTGCCATACCCACTCTCTCCTCTGGCTGTCTGCGCTTGTTCCCCCCCCAACCCTCACCATCCCTCACCATCCCTTCCCATCCCTTCTCATCCCTTCTCTGCTGCAGTAAGGTCAACATGGGAATGATGGCCGGGTCAGTGGTTGCATGCTGCATTGGCCGCTCCTGTCACATAGAGTCAACAACAAATCAGTCTGCAGACTTTCTCTCATCTTACCCACTCTCCCTGCCTGTTTTCTCCACCCTCCCCTCTCCCTCTCCGCTCTCCCCTCTCTACCCTCTCCCCTCTACCCTCTCCCCTCTACCCTCTCCCCTCTACCCTCTCCCCTCTACCCTCTCCCCTCTCCCCTCTCCCCTCTCCCCTCTCCCCTCTCCCCTCTCCCCTCGCCCCTCGCCCCTCGCCCCTCGCCCCTCGCCCCTCGGCCTCTGCGCAGTGACGGTGGGGTGGTGATGGCAGTGAAGTCGTACGGCACAGTGCGTCTGGCATACGACGTCAAGAAGCGCGACGGCTGGCACCAACAGGTGAGCGCTGCTGCCCTGCCCACTGTGCTACACTGTGCTACCCTGTGCTACACTGTGCTACACAGCGCGGCTGCTACACTGTGCTGCGTTGCTGTATCATGCCAGGAAGAGGTGGCTTTGAGTCGAGTATAAACACACCAGCAGGTGAGCGCCGCTGTGCTGCCGATGCCACGCTGCGTTGCTGTATTGTGCCTGAAAGTAGGACGCCTGGCAACATGGGGAAGGAGAGGGATAAGCCTATCGGGAAGGAGTAGAACAAGGGGGAAGGAGAGGGACGAGGGGGGATGAGAGAGACAAGGGGAAATGAGAGGGACGAGGGGGAATAAGAGGGAAGAGGGGGAATGAGAGGGACAAGGGGGAATGAGAGGGACAAGGGGGAATGAGAGGGATAACGGGGAATGAGAGGGATAAGGCGGAATGAGAAGGGCAAAGGGGAAGGAGAGGGGCAAGGGGGAAGGCGAGGGACAAGAGGAGGAGAGGGTCAAGAGGGAAGGAGAGGGTCAAGGGGGGGTGAGGGGGAGGGGGAATGCGCGCAAACAAGGGCTAAGGCAAGCAGATTCACAGGATCGAGAGTCAAATCGCTGGGTTTCGTATCAGGGTTCAGGGTTAGAAATTTGTAACTCTAAGCTAAGTCTGCTGCCTCCCTCTTTAAGTGATCCACTTCAAAGTATTTCTTAGCTTGCCTCCTCCTTTGTGCGCTCCTCACAGTCGGCCCCCTTGCTTCCGTTAAGGATATTCTCTTCACATCATAACTTTTCTTCCACCCCTCCCCTTCTTCACCACTAAAGGGGAGTTGTTGCCTGAACCAAGTGTAGCTGCTACCATCCACTGTCTCGTTTCCAATTTGCTGTATGTCTAAACCCTCATAAAACCAAAAAAATCTAGTCCGCTCCCCTGTTCCCTCTCTCGCTCCAACTGTGATCCCTTAAACCCTAACCTCGAAACCTCCAGGGCCAGGTGGTGCAGCTAGAGGTGAATGCGCCGGCATCGCTAGCCCAGCAGCTGGAGCACCTGAACAAGGACGAGCGGCTGCTGCGCTGGCTGCTGCTTAAGAGCCGGCCTAAGAGGTGGATGGTGTGGCGGGGAGAGGCCCTGCAGAGCACCACCACTCCCCCTTCTCAGTTTATGTGACCTGCTACACCTGTTGCGGCTGCTGCTGCTGCTGCTGCTGCAGTCGCTTTGCGCTTTGTGCCTCTGCAAGTGCAATGCTACTGTTGGTGGTGGTGGAGCTGCTGCTGCTGCTGCTGCTGCTGCAGATGATGTTTCGTTTGGTTTTATGGTGGATATCTGAGAGTGCGATTGGATTCAGTGCTGGGGTTGAAGTGGCTGTGATGGGTAGTTATTAAGTGAATGATAGTCTTATGGATGCTTTGTATGAGTAGTGGAAATGTATGTCATATGTATTTTTTCTTGTTAATGTAGTTATTGAAAATTCTTAAAAAATGCCATCGCAGAGCCGACGCACAAGCATCCAGCCCTGTATGCTAGAAACTGGCCTCGACCAACCAGCCACCACAACCGCCTCGGAACGAACTGCTCTGACCTGGCCGGTGCGGCCCCGCGATTGCACTCACCCACAGGTTTCCATGCGTTGTGTTGTTCCCTCGTCGGCTGTGTACCATTTTCTTGGTTCCGACTGGCTGGTTGCTTGTGGACAGCTTGTGGTGCCGAAGATTTTCGTGGATGAAAGTGCAGACCGGAAGGTTGCCACACGATTCCTACCATTCAGGAGACTCTAAAATAATCCACGTCGGAAAAGTCTCCGTGACGGAGCAAGCGAAAGCGAATCCTCCCTTCGCAACCGTCTCGTTTTTGCTCCGTTGGTGAGTTTCGTGGGAAGGTCGTGGAAAGTCTAGCGCTGGCGTGCAGCTACACGTCGACACAAGCCCCAACTCTGAAGATTCGTTGTCCAAACAGAACTCTTTGAAGACACGTGCAAGCTTACGTTTCCTGCTGAGGTGGAAACAATGATCGACAAGGTGGCTTGTTTCAACTGCGTTACCTCTCCACAACATTTTCACGACTGTCACTGCCACGTAGGACGTGCCAGACCCAATGCGTGTCAATACATCCGTCCTCGCCTCGCCTCGCCTCACCGCGCCACTGTCCAGCGACCACCTACAGGTGCGTTGAACCGCACATGAAACCGCTCGAAGCCCCTGGGATGGGCTGGACATGACACCTGACCTGACCTGAAGTCAGGTGAGGGACAAATCATGGGACGGCATCATGGCAGGGGCGGGGGGGACTCAACCCTGCTCGCGTCGCGGGCGCCTGGAGATTAGAAACGCATTCCTCCATCTGAACCATCCATCATGATGAGTCAAATGACTGTGCAATGTGGGCACGCTGATGCGGCAACAGTCAGCCAACGCCGCACCAGGGATTTGGCGCGCGTCACGTTGACCCAAATTGATCTAGGCCATTCGCAAGCCTCCCTTCACGCCACGGCAGCAAAGCGCAGATAGAGGAGATGAGGGCAGCGGAACACGATTCGAGGAGAAACTTTGCCCGGAGAAAAAAATCGCTGGTGAAGTCTTGGGAGGAGAGCCAATGAGAGGCCAAGAAACAATACTCGTACTGCCAACGCTACGCAACTCCGCGCCAACGCAGCAACAAGCGAAATGCCTGGGTTGTGTGAAGCTAGACAAGAAAGAGCAGTCAAAAAGCACGCGTGCATGGGTGGGGTGGGGTGGGGAGGGGAAACACAACAGACGAGGAGCCAGAGAGGGGGAAGAGGAGGGAGAGTGAGGGCAAATTGCCGTCATCGCTGCGAGGGTGATGGATCTTGGCGATGGTGGCATGGCATGGCATGGCATGGCAAGCAACGGAAATGTGTGCTGGGGGGGATGGGTGTTGCTTGCGGAGCGCGGTGCTGCTGCTTTGGTTGGTCGGCTGTGGTTTACTGGTTGCGTGCTGTGATCGACCAGAGAGCATGCCAGCTTTTTTCCTCTCCCCGCTACCAACCAAACACTCAACTGAGCGCTCGATATGGAGAGGCTTGAAAACCCTGAGCTGTCGAGGATCATTCCATGCCACTCACTCGCGCACGGGAATGATTGAAGAAACCAGCGTGCAAGCTTGCTTACGAAATTACTCGCGCAGTTTCATTCACAGCTCTCTAGGTCGACCACAAGCTTGAGTGACCGCAAGAACTGAGTGCGACGCGCTAAAACCAGTAGCACGCAGATCAATTTTCCCCGTCCCATAGACCAGCCTGATCTCTATTTAGCTCTGTCTCGCGACCAGGCGCTTCGCAGGCTCTCATCGCTCACACACACAGACACACGCGCACACACACAACTACGAATCCAAACAAGAGCCGCACCCCAGCTCGTAATTCCTTGCACTCGTCCAGTAATTCACCATGAGTTCCATTGGCGTCGCCCGCGTACCCGTAGCTGCTGTTTCCGCGCCGCTCTCGGCGGCCATCGCCGCCACTGTCCGCCCCGCCACCCCCGACGCGCGCGCTGCGAGCGTCGCGTCGCTTTGCTGGTCCCCCGGCAGCCACTCCCTTGTGGACGCCGGCAACTGCCGCCGCGCGTCCGCAACAGCTTTAGTGCGATCGACGTCGGGGGCTGCGGCACAGTCATGCGCCGCGGCAAGTGCGGCCGGCATCAGGTGCTGCGGGAGTAGCTTCGGCTGCGTCAGCATCAGCGGCGCGGGAAGCAGCCGCGCGCAAAGCGGTAACGCCGCGAGGCTGAGCCGCCATGTTCCCTCGCAACCGGCGACGCAATCCCAACATCACTCGCCGGCAATTTGTCGCGTCCGCGATACGAGTCGTTTCAGTCAAACGAGCGCGTCGCTCGCGTCGAGCGCCGGCGCCGCGGCGGCGGCGTGCCAAACATGCACGTTCGAGCTCACGACTCCATCGCGGCGACGAGGCGAGCGACGAGCATTCCAGGCACGGCTGCGCGTCGTTTGCAGCGCGAGCGGCACCGGAGCTGCCACAGCCCGTGCCGCTGACGCGTCGCGAGCCACGTCAGCAGCGCCAGCGTCGTCCACGCTGTCGCTGACGACGTTCAACATCCTCGCGCCCATCTACAAGCGGCTCGGCAGCGAGGTAAAGCAGTCTGAAGTGCGGGGGGGGAAGAAATTATTAGGGAGGGAGGACTCAGGACGGAAAAGGGCAGGGAGGTTGGAAAAGGCCGCTTTTTTTCAGACCGCCGCGGCGTTCTGACAGGTTTGGAGTGAGATTAATCCGCCTAACAGCCCTTGCCAGGGCGTCAAGTATCGGTAGCTGTGATCGACAGTCTCTGTTATTTTTCTTTCCTCGCGGATTACGATAATTTTGATCTGATCTCATCCTTTCGTTGTTCTCTCGCCCCGCGTTCTTTCTCCTCTTCCCGGCTCCTCGTGTCCTCGTCGCGCAGGGCGAGCGCGAGAGCGCGTGCGAGCACCTGTGGCGCGATCGCAACCGTCGCATAGTGGACCTGCTGCTGTCGCTGCAGTCGTCCGTGGTGTGCCTGCAGGAGTTCTGGTTCGACGGCGGCGACCTGGAGCGCATGTACGACTCGCACCTGCAGGCCAACGGCTATACGCTTTACAAGCTGCCCCGCACCAACGCCCGCGGCGACGGGCTGCTCACCGCCGTCCGCACGAGCGCCGGCGCCGGAGGCGCCGAAGCGGGAAGCGCGGCGGAAGCGGCGGCGGCGGAAAGGGAGGTGGTGAGCGTGGTGGACTATGAACCGATTTTGTTCCACGACTGCGGCGACCGCGTGGCGCAGCTGCTGCGCTTGCGCGTCACGGGCGCGGGGGACGGGGAGCGGGAGGGGGAAGGACAGAAAGCGGAAAGCGCCAGCAGCAGCGGTGGTGATGACTCTGCTTCAGCAGCAGCGGCGCCGGAAGCAGGGCAGCAGCAGCACGAGGTGCTGGTGATAAACACGCACCTGCTGTTCCCGCACAACGCCAACTCGAGCGTGATTCGGCTGCGCGAGGTGTACAAGATCCTCGAGTACGTGGACGCGTACAAGCACGCGCACGGGCTGCACGCGCTGCCCATCCTGCTCGCCGGGTAAGCCAGCCAGACCGTTTCTTTTAAGCGCTTTGGCCTCTCTGAAACATTTGGCGTCGTTATGAATGATAACCAGGCTATTTTCCGTTCGCGTGCCTCGGAAACAAGGGGGAGGGGGAAGGAAAAGCACGAGTCGGAAACACCGTGTTGACTATGAACCCTCTTGCATGTCAAATCTGATCAATCGTCCTCCCTGTCCGTGTGCGTGCTTTGGGTGTGTCGTCCTCTTCCCCTCTTGCAGAGACCTGAACGGCCCTTTGGACGGCGAGGTGTGTCGCTTCCTGCGGTCGCAGGGCTTTGTGTCGTGCTATGACAGCGTGCAGAGCGGCGACGACACCGACAGTAATGTACGTGCTGCTGCTGCTGTTGCTTCTGCTGCTGCTGTTGCGGCCGCTGCTGCTGCTGCTGTCTTGCATGCAAACCCACGGCTCCCCTCTGCAGCAAATATATACTCTTCTTCTCTAGTCGCCTGTATCGGTCTTGCAGCGCAGTATGCCTCGCACCAAAGTCTTCGGATCTCGCCGTGTGTATGTCTGTGTGCGCGTGTGTTCTCGTGAGTGCAATGGTGTCGCACCGCAACCACCGGGGCGAGGAGGTGGGTGTCTTGCAACACAGTATGCCTCACATCAAAATCTTCTCGTCTCCCTGTGTGTCTCTTTGTGCGCGTGTGTGTTCGCGTGAGTGCAGTGAGTGTCGCACCGCAACCACAGGGGCGAGGAGGTGGGTGTCTTGCAACACAGTATGCCTCACATCAAAATCTTCTCGTCTCCCTGTGTGTCTCCGTGTGCGCGTGTGTGTTCTTGTTAGTGCAGTGGGTGTCGCACCGAAACCACAGGGGCGAGGAGGTGGGGGTGGACTTCGTGTGGCTGCTCAACCCCTCCCAGCAGCTCCACGGCCCGCTCACCGCTGACTGGAAGGCCGCTGTCTTCCGCATGATCAAGGTGAGTGAGTGTGTTGGTCTGTGAGTGTGTGGGTGTGTGCGTGTGTGGGTTTGTGTGTGTGTGGGTGTGTGAGTGTGTGCGTGTGTGGGTTTGTGAGTGTGTGGGTGTGTGCGTGTGTGGGTTTGTAAGTGTGTGGGTGTGCGTGTGTGGGTCCGTGAGTGTGTGGGTGTGTGCGTGTGCGTGCCTCAGAAAACCTCTTGTTGGCGTCTTCTCACCACCCAATCCTCACTCCGTTGCCCACTAGTATCTTACATCCCTTACACGAATTACATTCCGTTACTCACTTACATTTTTCACGAATTATCTAACTGTGTAGCTACCTCTCTCCAACCCTGTTCTCTCCAGGCGAAGCTGATAGAGGCGGGGATAACAGAGGAGCGACAGGCGTTTGAGTTCTTCCAGTCAGCTGGCTCGCACTCAGCCAGCCAGCACCACCACCACCACCACCACCAGCAGCAGCAGGAGCAAACGCAGACACGACATCAGCAGCGCAGGGAGCAGAACCGCCACGATTGCATCACGCCAGAGGAATTCGCATACGCCATGGACGAGGTGAGAGCGTGATCTGCGTCGCGTCACAAGTCTGTGCTGTTGCAGTCGGTTCTTGGCTTTTCCCCTGCGAAGCACCCTTTTTTTTTCCCCAGCCTGGTAACCATCCCCAACTCCTAGCTCCCCACCCTCCCTCCTCCTATGCCTTCCTTCATCTGCCCCTTTCCCCTCCCTCTCCCCTTCCCCATACGCTTCCCCGCCACCCCTTTCCCCATCCTCCCCACTCCGCCTCGCTTTCTCAGCTGGGCCTCACGGGCGAGGACAGTGTGGGGCTGACGCGGGAGGAGATCCGCGAGTTAGTTCAGCGGGCGGACACGAGGGGCAGCGGGGCGGTGGACTACGAGGCGTTCAAGCTGCTGCTGCGCACCGAGTCCATGGAGGACACTTTTGCCCGCATTTGCAAGGCCACTGGGATTCATGAACAGCCGTGGCCGCAGCCCAGGCAGCAGCAGCAGCAACAGCAGCAGCAGCAGCAGCAGCAGCAGCAGCAGCAGCAGCAGACGTGGCGGATGTGGCAGGGGCAGCAGGATTTGCAGGGGCCGTTTGATGCGGCTGTGGAGCTGCAGCCACAGCAGCAGCAGCATGAGAGCAGGTGCCCATTGAAGCGAGGCGTGCAGGCATTGCAACAAGTGATCAAGATGGACGCCCTCGTCCACGGCTCAGCTCCCATTGCTGCTGGTAGTCCCCTTTCCCCTGGCAATGCTGCAGCACCCTTTGGAGTGGCAGTGCCTCCAGTCTCACAGGTGTCGTCCTTTGGGACGTCTCAGCCGTCCTCGTTCCCCATGTCGCTGGGACGCCATGGCCCTATGGTGCTTGCCGGCGCTGTTGCTGCTGCCTCTGCTGCTACTGCCGCTGCCGCTGCTGCTACCGCTGCCATCGGCGAGAAGGAAGGGCGGTGGGAGGAGTGCAAGAGCTGTGCGTGTGATCGTGTGGACTGTGAAGAGTGTGGTTACAACCCCAAGCGACAGGGTCAACAAGGCCAGCAGCAGCAACAACAACAGCATCAGCAGCAACAGCAGCAACCGTTGCAGCGGGTAGAGAGTGGTTTAGAAACGCGTGAGCTGACGGTGCACGCGGCTGTGTTGTTCCCCCCTGAGATGCAGCAGGGCACGTGGCCGTCAGACTACGACCTGTCGGACCATGCTGCTGTCACCGCCGTGCTGCGCGTGCTGTGACACCTAGAAGCCGCAGTGCTGTGACGTGGAGAAAGCCGCAGTGCAGTAATAATGTCTATGCCGTTCAAAAGTGGTAGCCGTTCGAGGCGGTTCAAGGCGGTTTGAGGGTGTTCAGTTGTAGCAGGGGTGGAAGGTACATACACATGTACGTTGATGGCAAAATTGGTGTTGGCGTGTGAGCTTACGGTATGTGCCGCTTTGTGTGCAGGTGTGTTGGTCGAGCCTTGTTTTTTGTGTATGCATGCATGCATACGCCCTGTGTGCTTGTTTGTGCATGTTTGTGCTTGTTTGTGCATTTGTATATTGCGTGTTTTGCTGAGCTGCGTCTAGCCCATAGGTGTGTTGCGTTGTGTTGTGGCTACATTTCGGCTCTGTAATCCCCTTGTTTCTTCCACAGGTATATATATGTATGGCAATCCGTTGCACACCCATGTGATTAAGAAATTACCGTACTTTCCCTAACAACAGGAAAAGGGATACACTCCTCAGTGCTGGCGGATGCTGGACCCGATGTTATGAGGTGGTCTGAGAGAACCCCTTATGGGACTGGGATGCCCTTGTGTTATGTCATTGAGGATCCCTTGTCTTACTGTTGTATGTTTGTGTCAACCATCAAATCAAGGGCTGTGGTACAGGCTAATCAATAACACCCACTTGCAAAGACATACGTACTCTTTGTGTGTGCACTCTATGTGCACTCCCAGCACTCTGTCATGCAGACAGCGCTAAAATCATCTCAGGTGATTCGCTCTGACTGACACCATCACTCACTCGCACCTCATCAGTTATCCATTCTATCCGCCTGCAATTTCCTATGCAGCTTGCAAGCACTCAGCCAGTAAGCTCCCTCAGTAATCAGTCCTCGATGCACACTACCATAAATAACCACACCCTATGTATGCCGCCTCCTCCTCCCTCCTTACAGCATCCCTTCACTTCACTCCCAGAGGCCGCCCATGCAGCTGGCATGCTCCCTTAGCCGGATTCCTCATCGCCACCTTGGCACATCCTACCTACATGTGGTAACTTAATCGCTCTCTGCGTATCCCCATACCGCCACATCCCTCCCTTCGCTCCACAGCTCCTCACTTGACCCCCAGCGGCCGTCCGTGCAGCTGGCAGGCCCCCTTGGACGGGTTCCTCAACGTCACCTGCGCCGTGCCGCCAAAGTCACACGCCTCTCTCGTCTGCCCCTGCTTCTGGAACCATGCGTTGTACACCGCCGTCGCCTTCATCTCCGCCCCGCACTTACTCCCCACCCGCGCACAATCAATCCCCCCACCCTCCTTCGAACACGCCCACGACACCCCGCCGCCCACGGCCGCGTCGCTGGCCGTCGGTTTCTGTACGCACCACATCTTAGGCGGTTTCGACGGCGGGAGATTGCTCGGGACGCCAAGCACATCAAGTTCATACTTCTGCGTACCATTAGCGTAATACAACCCAAAGTGGTGTTCAAACGGGCCCGGGGAGGTGTCTTTGAGATCCTCGTCAAAGAGTTCGAAGAGGAAGGCCCGGATGGGCGTGCCCGGGCGCTTGGGCGTGCCGCGCAGGGCGTTGGCGCGCGCTAGAAAGCCCGTGGTCCAGCGCTTGGAATTGAGGAGCGTGGCTGCTGGGTTACCTCCCGTGGGCCACCCTGCCTCCCCGACTGCAGGGGGGAAAGGGGGAAGATGCGAGGAAGGAGGCAAAAGAAGGACGAAGGGCGTTAGCGTAATACAACCCAAAGTGGTGCTCAAATGGGCCCAGGGAGGTGTCTTTGAGGTCCTCGTCGAAGAGTTCGAAGGACGTTGGTCATTCTTGGTTGGGGAACAACTGAAACCCGGCAGTGAACCAACGGGCAGAGGAAACGGAAGACAACTCTGTAGGATGGGAGCATGCCCCCCCCCCCTCCCCCCCCCCCCCGCTCTTTCCCCACCATGCAAATAATTGACGCTGCACTCGCTCAACTACGGCTCTCCCTCACCACTCAGCGCTGCACTCACTCATATACGGCATGTCTGGGTAGCCGAGCTTTTCAAAGGCCCACACGGCCCCATCGAGCATGGCGTCCATGAGGTTCTGGTAGTAGCTCCGTCCGTCGTAGAAGCCCGCCCTGCCGTGCCTGCCATGGCTTGGAAGCCTCACGCCCCCGCTCGCCCTGGCCCCACCACGCAGCGCTGCACTCACTGACGCACGCCACTCACCCGCCTCTCGGAGACGCTCCCCCGCCACCTCCCACTCATTCTCGATATGTACATACGCCTCCCAGTTCTACCCGCCACTCACTCATGTAGGGCATGTCGGGGTAGCCGAGCTTTTCAAAGGCCCACACGGCGCCGTCGAGCATGGCGTCCATGAGGTTCTGGTAGTAGCGCCGCCCGTCGTAGAAGCCCTTGTACCCGCGGTACAGCGCGTAGTCGTAGCTCACCTTGCCGCCCGCGTCCTTGTACGGGAAGAACGGGTAGCAGTTGAGCACCGTGAATGAGCCTGGGAGGGGGGAGGGGGAGGGGGATGGGTGGGTGGGTGGGTGGGGAAGGGGGTTGGCTTTTGAGTCGACTCAAAACAAGAACGGGTAGCAGTTGAGCACCGTGAAGGAGCCTGTGGGAGGAGGGGGATGGGGAAGGGCGCGTTTCGAGTCGACTCTTGAAGTAGTCGTAGCTCACCTTCCCGCCCGCGCCCTTAAACGGGAAGAACGGGTAGCAGTTGAGCACCGTGAAGGAGCCTGGGGGGACGGGTTGGGTGGAGAGGGGGAAATGCGGGGCAGGGTGGGCGGGGAGGGGCGGTTGGGGTGGGGGGATTGGAAACTGGCGGGTGAGAGGGGAGATCGGAGAGTGGCGGGTGGGGAGGGGGGACCGGAAAGGGGCGGGTGGAAAAGGGGGAATTGGAGAGGTTAAGAAGGTCTAATTGTACTTGTCGTGTGCGTGTCCATGCAAGGAGACTGGGGGACGCGGGGACTGTATGTGGGCGAGATGCACCACCTTCACACGCGACAGGCGAAGTGCGGACGAGGCACTGGAACCCTTCTCATCCCATCCTGTCGCGTCCCAACCCATCCCACCCTACCGCACCCCACCCCACTTCACCCCACCCCATCGCAACCACGAGCCACCTCCCCGCTCTCTCCCTCTCACCGGTCCGGTTGAGGAACGCGAGCATCTTGCGCATCTCGCCGACATACAGCGGGTCGACGACCGACTGCGAGGGCGGGTACGTGTTGGCCAGAAACCCCATGTGCTGCGGATGCACCACCTTCACGCGCCGGTGCAGGCGGCGCGTCTGCAGCGCGCGGTACAGCGCCTCCATGGCGGGCACGACCAGCGTGTACCCCGTGCCTGGCCCCATCAGCTCGTTGCCCACCTGCGCGCGCGGAGAAGAGGGGGGCGGAGGGGGAGGGGGAGGTTGAGAGGGAGAGGGAAGGGGAGAGCGCGCGGTAGAGCGCCTCCATGGCGGGCACCACGAGCGTGTACCCTGTGCCCGGCCCCATCAGCTCGTTGCCCACCTGCGCGCGCGCGGATTTGCAGGGGAGGGGAACGGGGGGGAGAGGGGGAGATGGAATCAGAGGGGAGAGAAAGGGGAAGAGGGAGGATGAGGGAGAGGAAAAGGAGGAGATTGGTGTTTCGCTGTTACCGCTGAAGTTTTCGAGGGCACCTGGTGTAACGCGTGCGGGCTAGTGTTAAGGGCATCCGCTGCGCCCGAACAACACCCTCGTTTCGACCCAGTGAGTAGCGAGGCGTTACACCTTGGGCAGACCTGAGAAAGACGTGGACTAGACATGAGAAATAGCGGGATGGTTGGGAGGTTGTGATGTGAAGGGAGGGGTGGGGAGACGGCGTGGCGAATGGGAGAGAGAACGCGCGCACGAAGCGCGCGTTGGCGATGATGACGATACACTCGCTGCAATGCCGATGCCGATGCCGTTGCTAACGCAGATACATCCCGCAGCACTTTCCCCCGCACCACCACCAGCCACACATTATCATCCCACTTACCGCGATCGCAATGACGTCCGTGCCGCGCCCAACGTACAGTACGATATACTCGTCCAGCCACCCCAGCGCGCCTTCTCTTCCCTCTCATAGCCCAAGTGGGGCACCTCCCTTCTACCCGCCATCCCCCATCCCACTCACCGCGATGGCGATGACGTTCGTGCCGCGACCAACGTACGGTACGATGTACTCGTCCAGCCACCCCAGCGCGCCTTCACTTCCTTCTCATTCCCTTATGCACCCGTCCGAACCTATCCCACTCACCGCAATGGCGATTATGTTCGTGCCGCGCGTCACGTACGGCACGATATACTCGTCTAGCCATCCTAGCGCCGCCGCGTCGCTCTTGCCGAAGTCGTAAAGGCGGTCGTTGGGCACTGACGTCATCACCTGCAGCCCCGTGCCTGAGGTGGGGAAGGTGGTGCAGGGGGGTATAAGGCGGTGGAGTAAGGGCGGTGAGGAGAGGAGCAGGAATTGGAAAGTAAGAAGAGAGGGCAGGAAGGAAGTGGGAAGCAATACGAGAGTGGAAAGGGAAGGATAGAGCGGGAGGGGTAGAACGGTCATCGGTCGTTGGACTCTGTTTAGTGCGACGCACCTGCGAGGGCGGATAGGATTTCGGGCACGGGGTAGAACGTCTTGACGGCCGCGAACCCCCGCTGCTTGACGATCGCGATGGCCGTCTTGACGTCTATCGGTTTGGACATGAGGCTGAGCGACAAGTTGACGCCCACCCACGGCTTCTTCCGCGCCGCTTCAGCCGGGATCAGCAACTGGGGCGTCAGGAGATTAACTACGAGAAGTAGTATGGCGGATAGTACGAGGCGCCCTGCGGCTGCTGCGGGAGGGCGCCGCGTGGGTAAGGTGACACGTGGCATGCTGAAACTTCCTGCGGCACGTGCGGTGGTTCGACGAGGAGGTGACACCTCGTGGCGGTACGAACGTGATGGCGGGTGGATGATGCAGCCACAGCTTGAGGTGAAATAAGACGCAGTGTATATTTAGGTCGACTAGCGGCCAGTTGTGCCGACGTACTATAGTTGCTGGTAACACGCTCGCCGACGAGAGTGCAACGTGGCTACCGGAATGGTAGTAGAGTATAAATAGCAGTTTCTCTAGGTAAATACTACACCACAGATTCGAGTGATATCGACGCGCCTGCGGAAGCGCTTCGAAGTGGAGAGGGTGCACTAACGAGGACGCTACTATAACAAGTAGTTGTAATGTCAGCAGCAGCGCAGCGGTCGTCGCAGCGAATGTGACGCCGTGCTACCTGCGATCCTTCCGTGTATTTCGCGCCGCAGTGAGAGGACAGGAGAACCAGAGCTCCAGAGGAAATAACGTACTTCCACCCGAAGCCTGTGAGTGGGCGTCGATTCACCCAACTGACCTAGTCCAGCCTGCGTTACACTACAAATATTAGATGTGCGTTGCAAAGGGGCTCGGCTAGGTGTATCTATCTCTTTGGGAAATAAGTGCTGGACCGCGAAGGGAACGGTAGGACCCGAGCAAACAGTCAGCTTTTGCTGAAAACGGTAGTCGCTATCCCCTCTGTATATGTTTCGAGGACGTTGGCGCGGTTCGCGAAAGTGGTGATAGTGCAGGGAGGTAGCGGGTACGAGAGCTTGGCAAGTTGGATGGTGGGAGAGAGCGGGAGGGGGACATCCAATGTGCGGCGTTACCACCATATGCCGTGTGATGGTGATGGTGAATGTGATGGGTTGCCGCCATGCCCATCTAAACTTCAAGAACCTCCGTTTCCCCCACAACTACGTAGCCCGTTTTTCCGTCCCTCCCAGAATCCACGCCTCTCCCCCTTCCTCCCCCTCGCAGCCATTCCAGCGGCAGCTGGAACAATGGCATCATGGAGGGAGGCTCGCAGTCAAAGATGACTGCGGTGAGGGCGGTTCGGGAGGACAGGGTGGGGTAGAGTGGGGTAGGGTGCGGGTGGAAACTTAGAGTCAGCTCAAATCGATCAAACCTGGCTGGGAGGGTTGTCGAATCGCGTCGGTGCTGAATTTTGTTAGCGTGTCCGGCTTGGACATTGAATTGACTGAGGCGACGTGTGCCTGTCGCAAACGGGACGGACTGACGACTACCACGGTGCGCATGCGACTCGCTGCGATGTGGTGTCAGTCGCGAAGACAACGTGAACAGAACGGTGAGGAATGATGCAAGGACGGGTCAAAAGAGTACGTCCAAATGAGGTAAAAAACGGTATAGTCTTCATTCAGAGTGGTCCGTTCAGAACACAACACGGTTTCGCAGGGATTTTTTCGAGACGTGCATTGTTTGACCCGCCCTACTGCGTATGTATGATGCGAATGTTTTAGACTCTTCAAAGCCAGAAGCTTAGGGCGCGTACAGGGTGGTCCAACATTCATTCACGTCTGTCACTGTAGGAGGACAATACTGCCATTCCAAATCAACAGCAATTATAACTCAGCAAGTCTATTTTGTTTTGGGCCCTGCCATTAGCACAGGTACTGTTCGAATGTGATAATTCCATGATATTCCCTCTCCAGCTGAATGCAAACCTTTTTTTTTTTGGCATTCAGATGTGTCAGTGTACTTCCAGCTTAGGATTTTGTGTGCTACGTAACACGCACAAATCATCTCCATAGCTTGCATGCATCCTTCAATTCTTCTTCTTGACATCTGCGGAGGGGTAAGCAGCGACAGACACCCGCTGCACCTCAAATAGCAGGCCAGCAGAGAAGAGAATGCTGCATGGGAGATAAGGGAGAGCAAGGAAGCAAGCAAGAAGATAAATGTCAGGTGTCAGATTGACCAAGGTACAATTCGGATACATAAACGGACTAAATCAATGATAGACTGCAGCGTGAAGCTGGTAGGATGTATAATAAAGCAAATGCACAAATCTAGAGTCACCTAGACGATGAGTGAAAACGCAAAGAAATGCAATGGAATCACCATTTAGGAGCTGGCATCATCAACATACCATGTAGTGGCACAGACACCATGGACTGAAGCAGCAGCAACTGTGGCAATGAAGAGCGACAAAAATACTGGAAATGAAAGGAGATAGTGGGCAGGGGGCAGAAGGGGAGAAAAAGAGAGAGGACAGTTGGGGGTAACGTGGGGTGAGGCTAAAGAGATAATTGCCAGAAGAGGAAGACATGGAAGAGAGATGGACAACCCCAGGAGAGGAATTTCGAGGAGAAATGCAGAAAGAACAGCAATGAGACCTACCAACGCCCCATCCGGATCTTGCTCCCATGGCCTCCTGCATGTTGCTAAAGAACTGCACAACACACATGAGATGCAGGAAGGCAGGTAACAAGCAAGTAATGAAGAAAGATAAGCAGGCGACATAGAAGGATATGAGGGAGTGAGGGGCGGTGTGGCAGAATCAAGAAGAGAGGTGAGAGAGAAGAAGATGTCTTCCAAGGGAGGAGGAGAAAATTACAATCATGTGGCTGCAGATGTGGCAAAAAACTAGGGTGGGCTGATTCTGCGTGTTCATTCAAAGGCGTGCCCAGATAGCGCCAGTCTCAGGATCCGGGGTGGCACAGATTCGAGCAAGGTGCCTGGCATGGATGATACTCCGGACGCGTTCCCACTGAGGCTCGACACGAGTACAATCTAGCACATCCAATTCCGCAGAATCGTGTGAGATCTCCAATCAAAGTACCTTTTCAAATTTGAAATGCATTTCTTGAAAGGAACATTTTAATCCGCCAACGGAATGGCATCCCACCAAACTAACTTAACCCTGCATGACCGACATACCCTACATGTGCCCCCGCCGTTTCCTCTTCTTCCCCCTCCCTTCCCCCCTCCCTTCCCCCCTCCCTCTCCCCTCCCTGCTCCTTCCCCCCCTTCTCCCCCCATCGACTACTGACCGTGAGCGCGAGCAGGAAGAGCAGCGAGCTGACGAAGCCGCCGACGATGGTGAGCGGCTTGGAGGACGCGAGCGTGGCGCGGTTCACCTGCTGCAGCGACAGCACGATGAGGAACAGGATCACCGCGTACAGCGCTGACGTCTGCGGTGACGTCAGCTTCCGCGCGGCGCCTGCGGCGGGCTGAGCGACTGCTGGGGCTGGCGAGGGAAAAGAGGGAACGGAGGGAGGGTAAGTCAGTAAGGAGGATAAAAATTGGAGAGGGGGGAGGTGAGGATGGGTGGGAGAGAATGGTGGACAGAGAGGGAGTGGGAAAGAAGGAATTGTGAAATGTTCATTGAAAATCTAAGAGTGACTTGATGACTCCGGAGAGTGGACGAGCTTGTCGCAGCAAGGAGAAGGATCGAAAAATGAAATGTGACAAGAAACGAGGAATCAGGTGATGCGTTTGAAATGATCATTCGGTTTTCTTGCTGCGATGAACACACGCTTGAAAGAGCTGCTTTTTATGTTAAGTGCGGGGATGGATAAGGAAAGAACTAGATGTGTAGCATAGCAGCACCAATCTGTCGCACGGTGACCCATACCCATTGCAGGAGAAGATCTCTGGCCGAAATACGTCGATGATTGTGCAGGAACGCCGAGATTGATGCTACCGAAGTAACGGAGATGACGATTAGCACGGCGAAACTGCAGCCTGGACCCCTAGACGGGAGGTGGAATACCTAGAATCTAGAAATAACTGAGGAGCGATATCGCAAATGCAGGAATCTGGTAGAGGGTCTTGGGATCTGGAACCTCGTTCTCGATATTGGCCTAGCTATGTTTCCACCTCTCCAACCAAGCGAGTACAGTCAGGGATTTCATGCAATAATATGCTTGATCTGAAGTCTCTTATGTGTAGTAGGCTGAGAACATTTGTTTTGATTGAAATTGCAGATTCAGATTTTAGACTTTCTGAAACAGGAAAATAAACAGCACATGCGGTAGGCACGCTACATCAGAACATTTCATTTGTTTCTATCCCAAGACTCTGTCATGTCAGAATTCAAAATAAGTATGGCAAAAGCACATGTACTACTTTAGAAAATTGCCTTTAACAACAACCAGTGGTAGTAATAAATTACCAATATCGCGATAATGACATGTACTACTACTGGTACAATGACATGCATCCTGATATTCCAAAGTACCATCCAGATGCTACAGACTTTACCAATGTACACGACACAGCATCCCTCACTGTCATGGAGTGGGAAGAGAAGAGAGAGGAAGAGAAGGGAAAGAGGAAGAGAGGAACAGAAGGGAAAGAGGAAGGTGAAAGGAGAGGAAGAAAGGAAGAGACTAAGGAAAAAAAAACGGAAATCAAATCATTTCTTTTCAACAGCCGCACATATTTCCTTGATAACCTGACAGGCAGATGCCCACAAAGACCAGCGCTAACGGGCGCCAACCCCAAAGAGACTCTGCGTAGAGTCCGTCACAGGAACGTGTGCATATTGACAGCGGACATATAATGTCATTCGCGCTTGTCATCCCGTGCGCGGAGCCCTGATCACCACCCCCTGTTCGTCCACGAAAACGCGCACGCGGTCCAGGCGATAGTCGCGCGTCGTCGGTTGATTGTGCCCTACAACCTGAACATTGAGACCACGGCCCTCTGCCTCGATTCTCTGCTTCGCCTCCTCCCCGCGCAAGCCCACAAGCTCGGGCCACTCCGTCTTGCCCTGTGACATTTTAAGAGGCCTGAAAGCTGCTGCTGCTGCTACTGGTGTAAGCAGTGGTGTGGGAGTGCTGCAGCTAAGCGGCGCACAGGGCAGACGCAAGAACATAGGAAAGGAACGAATGAGTGGAATGGTGCTCGTTCATGGCGTGGTTCGATGGAATTTATGCATTCGTGGTTCAGATCGCGGTCCTGGGGTGTCCAGGACACCCGAACTCAGGACACTCCGCACGTTGGTACCACGTGCTGGCAACATGCCCACCCACACACACGTCGCAGAGCTGCCACTGTACACTCCTGCGACATTTTTTACGACCCTACTTCCGAAGTGTAGTCGGGACAACGTGGACCCGTTCTATCGTGCGCGAATTACATTGGTACACGAGTACAGGTTTACAGAACACGTGGCATCCCCCAGCGACGAGGGGCACCCGCTGCCTACCTCAAAAAGGCCACTTTCCAGGTCAGCATGTCCCAGGACACCCCAGGACCGCGACCTCAGTGACACCTGTAGGTCGCTGATGTGTCATAGATATTACCATATTGAAGTACACCCTGTTTCGCGCTAGCAGAGCATCTGGTTGCAGACATACACGGGTTGTAGAACGTCACCACGTTTGAAATGGTCTTATCACCTACAGTACAAGCACATCGTGAAGAAGCGGTTATGTAGGAAGCTACATGGTAGAGAACAATATTCTAGCGTTTTAAGACGGTTGAAAAGGGTATACTGCGATAGCGGAAATTTTACGCTCCATTACTACTCAGTCAGCTGGTGCGGCTTTGTCCGCAGGTTTCAGCCGTTCGGTTTATGGCACCTGACCGCTACGTCCAAACTCTATAGCAGCGAATCGCGCAAGGTGTGAGGGTCGAGAAACAGGGTGTACTTCCTGTGAAAATTCCATTCCACAATAGATATTACCATGGGGATAATGGTGGACATTCAATGCTGGAAAAATATTCCACAACTCATACGAACCGTATCAGAAACAGATGTAACCGAATGACTGAACCTTCGTTTCACAACCGAGGTCCGAATAACATTCCTTGCAGCTGTCAGTTGGCCCTAGTCTTTCGCTTGTCGAACACGTAGCAACCAGCTGATCGTCAGAAAAAAGGCACTCCAACAAAACTTGTTGGACCCACCGTCAGGCCACGCACCCCTCCGTCCGGTCATCACAATTCTACTGTACAGCTCAGCAGCACCCCCACCTGCCTGTCTTGCCCGTCATCATCAACGATTTTCGCCTGCCCGGCCGTCCATTTTCTCGCCATCTCCGCTTTCTCCCACCGACTGACGGCCAAACGGTGAGTCCAACAAACGGACCACCCCTTCCCACGGCCACCCTTGCTCACGGTTTTCCCAACATGAACGCGGAGATGGCGTCTGTCACACCTTCCCCTCGTCTTCGTATTTCCCCCAGCCATATCTCCCTCGGGACTAGGGTTGGAGTTCGTCAGCGAAGCTCCTCCGCACGCAGCACATATATTTCTGTTCGGTGCCGTGGAATTGAAGGTAGCCCGTTCTCTCAAGAAACCGTGTTATCGAACTCCTTTTGCGTGTGCTGCACTCTTATCAAGCTCTCCTTTTGAGACCTTGTCTGTTTATAAATCTGCACGTAGGAACTGTTCAGGATGTTGAAGAATTGGCCTTTCTGTATCCTGCTTGTGCTCGCGACTCTCTTGGTCCCTACTCTCGCGCTTTTGAACGATATTCCTCCAGGTACAGCTCTGGCCGTCTATACCTAGATTCACGCTTCGGAAGTCTTTCTTTTAGCAACACGACGTGTCGCTTATTCTCCTAGTGGAACTAGTCCCCATTGGTTACCCTAAAGTCTGTCTTATTCGTTGCACGTTCCTCATCATAGTCTACCCTCTGGCCCTTGTGAGTGCTAATTTGTTTCCGATATGCATCCGTCTGTTTCTTCACCCTTCAGGTTCTAACATGGATGAGGGTCAGCCGAAATCTTGGCCAGAGTTGGTTGGAATCCCAGGCACGGAGGCCCGCGAGAAGATTTTGGCGGAGGACCCGACGTTGCAAGTGGGCATCGTAAGACCAGGCATGATGGTGACGATGGACTACCGCCTGAACCGCGTGCGCATCTACGTGGATAAAGATGGAATCGTGAATCGTCCTCCCACATTAGGCTAGCGACCCGTCGCGCCTTCGCCTCCTCTTCTTTTGGTTGCTACCTCGCGTGCTACGTTGCGCTCACCACGCGAGTTTCTTTTCTCAAATGAACTATTGATTGTCAGCCTGCTCAGACTGTGACTTCCATGTGACGTATTAGGTATGGGCCCTTCTTGTGAGGGGCTTCGTAGTAATCCCCAAGATTGAGAGGCCACAATAGTGAAGGCGGGTCCACCTTAAAAATTATATGTCATGTGTACGGTACATGTCTACACAATTTTACAAAATCATGGTGCAGGCTAGTACTTGACTTGAGCTGTGAAGGTACCATACTGGCTTCGGTTCGCATTATCCACATTTGACATGACACAAAGTTAGGAAAACCAACCAGATGTCTCAGGTGGTGAAACATTGTCCAGGCATGCCCAAAGTTTTTGGAGGCTTTTGAAGCCATTATTGATCTAAACATACCCCAGGAGATACTGTAGTAGGGTAAGCCAACACACAAACAACTTCCTCCCACTATCAAGCCTAGCCAGCGTAGCTTAGTCTAGACACCTAGCCAGCACAGCTTAGTCTAGACGGAGATGCGTAGCCATTGAAACCCACAACCGCTGATGTGTCGCTTCCACAATTTCAGGCACTGCGCCTATGCTAAATAAGCATGTTCATGCACGTAAATCACGCCACCCAGCTCCTCTCTCCCTGCCTGCCACCTCCTTCCTGATTGCCTCCAGTGCATTAGCAATGAGCGCCATGCTTGGGCGGCCTGCAGTGCGCTCCACGGTGCAGCTCACTGCCAGCTCAGCCACACGCAGCACAGCATCATCAGGGGCGTCTATGTGCGCCTTCTTGAGGCTCTCTGCCGAGCTGGAAGAGAGGCACTCTGAAGCCTGAGGGAGATTGAGAGGGGACAATGGTGGTGAACGTTATAATAAAGACACAAGATGTGCTGCAGACAACAAGCAAACAGCAACGAAGTTGTTGTTTTTTATTTTTTACCTGCAGTCACTTCGGCAGAAACGAGAATAGACCACCCATGCTGGAGTACAGAAATTGTGCAGATACAAGGTTCTTAGTAAAAAAAAAAGCTCAGCACTTGCCACTTCGATGATGTGCTTGGTCTCTCCAGCAGACTCAGTGGAAGGAGGGCGTCCAGTGAGCACCACAAGCATGAGCACACCAAAGCTGCAGCAAGGGAGAGAGGGAGGGGCGTTAACGGCAATCAGAGAGTCACATCTCCATGCCCATCTTATTTCCATTGTGATCGGGTGTACAGTGTCCCCAAAAGCATCAATGCAGGGTAAGGAGAGCATACATTAAGAGCGTATGGAGGGCTGCCATTCCATGATGGACCAAAGGAACATGCAAAGATAAGCAAGAGCGACCACATGAGAGTCTTCTCTGGACTGCTAAGCCACTTGCAGTGCAGGCAGGTGCTCAAGACCCACAGGTCTGGTCACCTGTAGACATCACTGGCAGTGGTGGCCTTGCACGTCTTGGCATAGATGGGACCCACATAGCCTGGAGTTCCCATGATGCGAGTCGTGCCCACTGTCGTGCCCTCTCCCACCCTCACAAGCCCAAAGTCTGCAATCTTGGCCTGGCAGGCGGCATGGGTTTTGCAGCAAGAGAGAGGAAAAGTGACATAGAAAAGATAAATTTAGAGGGCAATTTGGGTACAATATTATACAGTTGGAGTGGATATTTGACGATGACTCTTCATGATTCTTCCACAGACCCTCATGCACTGATCCTGTGTGCCGGCCTCTTGAAGGTTCCACCCACCCACCCATCCCATGCTACTCACCTGAGCCTCACCTAGGCTGGACTGACTGACGGTGTTTTGAACCAGCAGGCAGTGAGTTGATGTGCAGAACTGATCGAAGACAAACTAGCATGCGCAACCGTGCTTGCCTGCATGTCGCTGGTGATGAGGATGTTGGCGGGTTTGATGTCGCGATGCACGGCGCCAAAGCTGTGGAGATACTCCAAGCCATGCGCTGCACCGATGAGCACATCCAGCCGCTGGTGAAGGCTCATAGGACTGGCTGCTCCTGCAAGAAACAGCGGGACAACGAATGAGTCACAAACATGGCATTAGGGGCACACCAGGAGCCACCCAGAACGCGCGCGCGCACACACACACGCATACTTGAGGCGTGGCATGAGAGATACCTGGATTTATCCACTTGTGGAGGTCACCGTTGGGCACAAACTCGTAGATCAAGATCTGCTCTGCCTTTAACCTCACGTCCCCTCCCACTGCAAACCCAAGCAGGCGCACGATGTTGGGATGGTTCTTATTCGCCATTTGCTGTACCAGGACACATAGCGAGAGCAGCGACCTGGACTAGACCCCAGCGTAAGTGAAAAAACAGGCTCTGCATTCCGGAACCGTAATTTGCAGGTGACCGTCACACAGTTGCCTCTATCAGGGCTCCAACGCATTGTGGTACTAAAACAAACAAGCATTGAGATGAGTTTTGAGGCGCCTCAAAAATCATCTCAAGGCACACAGTTGCCACTATCAGGGCTCCGGAGCATTGTGGTACTGAAACGAACAGGCATCCCACGCAAGGCCCTCTCACCTCCTTCTGGAAGCTCGCGTCGATGAGCTTGGCGCGCTTGACAGCCCAGGGGGTGGTGCCATCGCGGGGAGAGACGCCCTTGTAGACATCACCAAAGGCACCCGAGCCAAGCAGGTTGTCCTGCGACCAGCCGTTGGTGGCCTTGAGGACCTCAGCTAGTGAGAACTCCGTGCAGAGCGAGGCCGCCAGGCTGGGCCGTGGGCCTGGCCATTGGGGGGGGGTTGAAGGGTGAAGGATGAATGGTGAAGGTTGAGGTGAAGGTCGAGGTGAAGGGTGGCGTCCATTCACAAACAGCGGGAATTATGGGTCTTTTTGTTTGTCTTTTCCTTTTTTGCTCACGTCACGTTGCATTCGGCAGGCTTCAATGCGTTTCTGGGGTACATGCAGCGGCAGACCTGATACCTCCTTTCTTGCACAGCATGCGAACCACTAGAGCAGAGAACAGGCACAGGCAGTGTCCAAATGCGAGTGATCAGCCACGGATGGAGCCACCTAATTAAAGGGCAGAAGAAGAGGCAAAATCTTTGGTCAATCTACACCTCCTTACCAGCTGGACCCTGCTGCCTCTTGTGCCTTAATAAGAGCAGAACGGTAGCCAAAAGCAGGAGGAGAATGACGGCTGCAGCAACAGCAATGCCAACAATGGCTCCCACTGATAAACCCCCTCCTCCTCCAGATGCTGAAGCAGTATCACCGCTGCTGCTGCTGCTACTGCTGCTGGTAACTGCGATAACATGGGTAACAAATTGAGCAGATGCAAGCTGGCAATACCTGGTTAAGCAATGCAAATAAAAAGTACATGCCAGAGAATCTGACGCGAATTATTGATTAAAGCAGTGCTGAGATTCACCTTATCGTGCCCACCTGTCCCTCATGCCCACCTCTCCCTCATGCCCACCTCCCCCTCATGCCCAGCCGTCATCATCGTCTCACCGTGGCGTGCCGCAGGTTTGGCAGAAGGAGGCACAGGTGTGGCAGAAGGATGAGTTGGGCGATTGGGAGGGGCCACAGCTGCTGTGGTCTGCAGGGCACGTGAGGCCGCTGCCGCTTATGTTGCTGGTGCGGGGAGAAGAGAAGAGAGGGGTAGTCGCACACAGTGGCGAAGTTCTTAAGGCGATGGTCCACATTCAGGCTACGCACGCACGCAGGCACGCTGGCACGCATGCACGCACTCACACACGCACGCACGCACGCACGCACGCACGCACGCACGCACGCACGCACGCACGCACGCACGCACGCACGCACGCACGCACGCACGCACTCACTCACGCACGCACGCACGCACGCACGCACACACGCACGCACGCACGCACGCACGCACTCACGCATGCACACATGCACGCACACACATGCACGCACACACATGCACGCACACACACGGATTGGTACACACGAGTCAAAGCTGTGGTTTCCTAGTCTGCCACTTGTTATAATATAACATGTTGATATTCATACTGGTGTTACACCCAAGCATTTAAGTCAAGGCGCCCCACCCAATTTTGGTTGGGTGCTCCAAACCCAACTCGACCGCAATAAACGGCGGGAGCCAACATTGGTCCATCCAACCATCTTCCCCCCCCTCTTTCAGGAGACGTTCTATACCACCAGCATTTTTTATAATTGACATCCATAAATCCAGCGTTTGGAATTTTTGTTTTGAAATCTTCCTGTTGTGCGACCAATCTCACTCAACAATGTTGAGGGCACCCCACCTAGTTCCTGTTCCCCACCTAGTTCCTGTTCCCCACCTAATTCCTGTTCCCCACCTAGTTCCTGTTCCGCAACTGATTCTCTCCTATGTTAACCCACCTCTTCCCTAATGCCAACAGCACTTGAGATTTATTCACCACATACGATGCGAGGCCATGCTGTGATTGTTGCCTGGTGTGCCACATACAGCGAGTTGAGAGAAGTGAAGCCTCCAAGCGAGCTTGGCAGCGTTCCACTGAGGCTCGTAGAGTTGACTCTCCTGCAGAGTAAGAAGCAAACGGAATGGGAAAACCTCATGTTTCAACATGAGACTGTGGGACACAAACGGCAACTATGGTAGGCAGATTCATAGCCATATAACTGCAGTAAGTGAAGATTATGAATACATTGGGAACCAGAGAGATGCAACACGGATGGAAACGGAATGAAGAAGAAAAAAAAAACAATTTCTTTTACAAGGAGGTAAGCATGGACAAAGTCCCAAACGTGTCTGGTAAGGGCCCAGTTATTTGATTGTTGTCCAACCACCTGAAATACATGACAAATCAAACTGCTGGTTACGTCATGTGTAGCTAACTCATTCGCATAGCGATGAAAACAAACGATCGAGCATTCTTGATCTGACATTTACAAGAGTCAAGATCGCTCATAACACTAACAAACAGCCCCAGTGGCACATGCAGCAGCTTCGGAACAAGCAACAAGTACCATATAAGC